TTCCATAGAACCATGCCTTGGATTTATTGGTTCACTTTTAAAGTCATCGATTTCTCTTTTATCTTTACTAATTCCTTTCTGCTTCCTTTGGTTTGCTTTTAATTTGAGTTGGATGCATTATATTCATTCTTGTTTGCTGAAAATAATTAAGGCTATGAATTTTTCTTTGAGCACTGATTTAGTCATATCTTAAAATTTATTATGTATGTTGTTTTTGCTGTTATTTTCTCAATAACCCTGCATTTTGGTACTTATTACTTAACTCAAAATTTATTTAAGGCAATTTTATTTGCGAGTTTTATTGTTTCTACTGTGATTGCATTGTAATTCAGAAATATCTGTCTTCTACTTTTTGCAGTTCGTTGATGTTTTCTTTAGAAAGTCTGTGTACTTTTTATTACTGTTTCTTGGGTACTTGTGAAAAAGGTGTTATCTGCTTTCAAAGTATATTGTTTTGCTTTTATTCAGTTTTTCTCTGTCTCCATTTGGTTTTATATATTTTGAGACTAAGGTTTGATATATAAAAGTACTTAGCTATTTATATCTTTTCAATTGGTTCTTTAATAACTACAGAATATCTCTTATCCTTTATAATGCTTTTCTCCTTGAATTTAAAAAACCTGATATTACTGCTGCTTTCTTTAAATTTTGTTAGCATTTCTTGGTAGTATCTGTTTCTACATCCCCATCCCCACCCCTCAACTCCCAATTTCCCTGCATTGTTTTGTTTCAGGAGCAATTTTTTAAAAACATATTTTTATTGATTTCAGAGAAGAAAAAAGAGGGAGAAAGAGATAGAAACATCAGTGATAAGAGAGAATCATTGATTGGCTGCCCCCTGCACACCCCCTTTTGGGGATCAAGCCCGCAACCCAGACATGTGTCCTTGACTTGAATCAAACCTGGGACCCTTCAGTCCGCAGGCTGACGCTCTGTCCACTAAGTGAAACCGGCTAGGGCTCAGGAGCAATTTTTGCAAAGTATATTCCTTAAGTTTGATTTTTATTTTCTTGACTCCTGTTTCAGAGCTTTAATTAACAAGTAAATTTAACACATGCACATTTATTAACGACAATATTGGGATAGTTCTTTTTGTTGCACTTTCTATATCTGTTTAATGGATCAAGTTTTCTTTTTTCGTTTTTTTCTTCTTCCAATGGTTTGCATGTTTACTGATATAATTATCCTAAGTTTTAACTACACATGCAAAATAGCCAGTATTTTACATAAATTTTATAGTATTTATTTATAGTTATTACCCAGCAACTTTGCCCTCCACTCCACCTACATACCCTGTTAGTTTCTCCTTTGCTCTTTACTACTGCATCTCATGTTTACGCTTAAGATTTAACTTCAGGTTATTTAGTTTTATTTTGTAATTAATAATTGCATTGTCTTAAATGTTTTTATTTTTTTCCTGCATTATTTTTTTGTCTTAATGTTTTTACTTATTTCTAGCCCCAGAACTGAGTACCTATCTCAGCCTTAGTGTCCTTGTGGCACTTGACTAATAAGAACAGCAATTATTTGACGTAGGAGTGGAGGTGCTGGGTGGCATGTACATCCTGCTTCCGAAGTCCCAGTCACTCTGAGGTAGTGTCAGGGTTCTCATACATGTCTTCCTGTGGAGCAGTCAGTGTTTTGTGTAGGTTATCTTCTGACTCCTTGACTGCATTAAAGAACATTTCCCTATTGCTCTCTCACACAAGTACCATCTTCTTTGGGTATTAAATTGCTGTCACCATCATTTCCTCTTAATAAAGTAGCAGGCAAGCCTGTTTTTTAGTAGAGGGTAGCTGTACCACTTGCAGCTATATTCATGTGCCAAATACCACTCTGAGTCCCAGGACTAAGTATGTAAAAGCTGAGTTAAAGTTTTCTTTTTCTTATAATTTTATAATTACATATACTTTTTGTTGTTTCAGAGGTACTTTAGAATATCCAATGGCTTACATTTTTCATGACAAAGGAATATACATTATTGCTACATTCTGGGAGCATTAAATTGTTTGGGAGACAAAAATTTCATACATAAAGCAATTAGACCCAGAATGTACTTGGCCCAAATGATTATTAATAAGAGGCTTTTCAGTTGCCTTAAAAAAAAAATGGAAAGGAGCCTGGCTGGTGTGGCTCAGTGACCTATGAACCAGGAGGTCATGGTTCGATTCCCTATTGGGGCACATGTCATGGTTGCAGGCTTGATCCCCAGTGTGGGGCATGCAGGAAGCAGCTGATCAGTGATTCTCTCTTATCGCTATCTCCCTCTTCCTTCCTCTCTGATGTCAATAAATATATTTTTAAAATAAGAGGCGAAAATCATATGTTAAAAATTATTAGTTTGGCTCAGTGGATAGAGCGTCGGCCTACGGACTGAAAGGTCCCAGGTTCGATTCCGGTGTACCTTGGTTGCGGGCACATCCCCAGTGGGGTGTGTGCAGGAGGCAGCTGATCGATGTTTCTAACTCTATATCCCACTCCCTTCCTCTCTGTAAAAAATCAATAAAATATATTTTTAAAAAATTATTAGTATTGCTCTGGCTGGTTTGGTTCAGTGGTTAGAGTGTCAGCCCACAGACCAAATTGTTGTGTGTTCAATTCCCAGTCAAGGACACGTACCTCGCTTATGGTTTTGATACCCAACTCCAGTTGGGCACATGTGGGAGGCAACCAGTTGATGTGTCTCTCTCACATTGATGTTTCTCACCCTCTCTTTTCTCCCCCCCATCCTTCCTTCCACCCTTCCACTCTGTTTGAAAATCAGTAGGAAAAATATGCTCAGGTGAGGGATTAAAAAAAAAAAGTGTTGCCCTGACCGGTTTGGCTCAGTGGATAGAGCGTCGGCCTGCGAACTGAAGGGTCCCGGGTTCCATTCTGGTCAAGGGCATGTACCTTGGTTGCGGGCACATCCCCAGTAGGGGTTGTGCAGGAGGCGACTCATTGATGTTTCTCTCTCATCCATGTCTCTGACTCTCTATGCCTCTCCCTTCCTCTCTGTAAAAAATCAATAAAATACATATTTTTTAAAAAGTGTTGCCCAGCCAGTGTGCTCAGTGGTTGAGCATCTCCCCAGGAACCAAGAGATCACCTGTTTAATTCTCGGTCAGGGTACCTGCCCTGCTTGTGGGCTTGACCCTGGTAGGGGACTTGCAGAAGGCAGCGGATCAGTGATGCTCCTCTCTCATTGATGTTTCTATTTTTCTATCCCTCTCCCTTCCTCTCTCTCTAAAAATCAATACAAACATATTTTTATAAAACTATTAGTGATATAATCTAAATCCATCAGTTTTTCAGAGAAAGGAAACACTAGTGGGGCTAAATTGTTAAATGAGAGGAGGCTGTAGAACTGAGGGTGTGTAAGTGGAAATTTGGTGACTGTTGGAAGCAACACAGGTGACCAACACTTTATCACAGCATCATACGCACTGTTGGCATTTGAATAAACACTTGTTTTATTTGGGCCACAGTAATAGCTTCTGTTTACTGAGTGTTTACATTATGCTGGATACTAGAACAAGACTGTACTGTGTACACAAGGAGAAAGACAGGTATAACCCAGCTAGTGAGTCTTGGCGGTTTTAATTTCAGGCCTGGAGGTTTTAACCCTTGAACAGTTTTCTGTGTCCTCACAACTCATGTGGAGACATTTCACTTTTTTTATGTGACAGTGGCATTTGTAAAGATGCATCAGAATCTCACAGAAACATTAAGCTGCTACAGAAGTTGAAGGTGGTATTGTGCCACTGTTTATAGATAGCCTTGTGTTTGGTGCCCTGTGAACAATCCACGTATGTAACCTAAGGACAGCCCTGCACAGTTTTATCCCCGAGCCATGAGCTCAGTTAGCTTCCTGCACTCGCCCAAAGGCACAGAGCTTAGGGAAGGCCACCTGGGCTGGAAACCTGGTCCATCTCGTCCAGAAGTTCCTGTCCCATGCTGTCTCCATGTAGTTCTAGAGATTGGGCATACCTTCCTGGTTTAAGGGATTTCTGTCCGTTTGTTTACTTATTTAATCTCTTCTAGGAGTTCAAAAATTCACTGTCTGTAGTTTCTGATTGTTCGTACAGTATACAGATGGCTACTACTGAGATTTATTTCTCCAATTTTGATTAGTCTCATAGATTTCATCCTGTTATCTTTCTCTTTACTTTCCTGTTCTCAGTATGATGCAGACTTTACATTTTAACACAAAAACATTAACTTTGCCTTTTTGTAAAGAAACAGACAGATTATTTCCTCCCTCCCTCCCTCCCTCCCTCCCTCCCTTCCTTCCTTCCTTCCTTCCTTCCTTCCTTCCTTTTTCAAGCCTCACCTGAGGATATTTTTCCCCGTTGATTTAAGAGATAGAGGGAACAGGAGGGAGGGAGAGAGGAACATCTTTGTGAGAATGACACATCAATTGGTTGCCTCCTGCACGTGTCCTAGCCAGGGAACCAAACCTGCAACCCAGGTATATGCCCTTGACTGGGGATTGAACCCACGACCCTTCAGTGAGCAGGTTGATGCTCTACCCACTTAGACACACCGGCCAGGGCGACAGATTGTTTTCTACTCTTGTTCTTGTGTTGTGTTGTCTTCCAAAGATGAAAAATAGAGGCCAAATACATTAAACATGAAGCAGGGTAAGAACAGTTATCAGGGAATCGAGGATTCTTTTAGGGTGACCAGAACTTTACTGTGAGTTCCATAGTTGTACAATCAGTGCTTATTCTCCAGTCAGAGAATAAGATGGACTAGGGATCGTAAGCACAAGCTGTCATGGACCCAGGAGTGGCAGTGGTCTCCATGACCTCGCTGGATAGGGAATTAGCAGAAGGCAGAATGACTGCTGGTAGTGATCTCTCCCAGGAAAAGGAGCCCGTGACTGAGGATGTCCCCACACATTTAAAGTTTCATTCCTTTAGGATTGTTTTCTTAGTGCCTTTTTACTTAGATGGCTAACTATGGAGGTACACTTTACTGGCTAATCTTTTCCACCCCTTTTCTTTTGTCGGGATCAGTGCCAGAACAGATAAAGCCCAGTGTAAGCCAGCCTCAGCCTGCCAACTCTAATAACGGCACTTCCACAGCAACCAGCACTAATAATAATGCCAAACGAGCCACAGCCAACAGTCAGCAGCAGCCGCAGCCGCCACAGCAGCAGCCGCAGCAGCCACAGCCACAGCAGCCGCAGCCACCACAGGCCTTGCCTCGGTATCCTCGTGAAGTACCACCACGATTCCGCCACCAGGAACATAAGCAGCTTCTAAAGAGGGGTCAGCATTTTCCTGTCATAGCAGCAAACCTGGGATCTGCTGTTAAAGTGTTAAGCAGCCAGTCAGAAAGCAGTGCTTTAACAAACCAACAGCCACAAAATAACGGAGAGGTGCAGAGCAGCAAAACCCAGTCAGGTGAGAGAAGGTGCTTCTTACGAGACTTCAGCTGTCATCACTAGCGGTGTAGCAGGTTTATGAATTCATGGCTTTGGGGTAATGTATTTGTATTCATTAGTATCTGGGTAGCAAAATAACGATCTGTACAGGGAGTTATGAATAGGGAGTCTTGAAATGTTGCCTGTAAGGTCACTGCCCATCCTACTTTAGAAATCCTTTTAATCATTCTCCCTCCAGGTTCTACCTATTTTAATAAGCAGCTTAGAGTTAAAATTGATCATGCGACTATAACTAAAATTGATCACTCCCCTCAAGTTATATTCTAAGCAGTTAGACATATTGCATTTAATCCTCAGCACCCTGTAAGGTGTAAGCTGTTCTTCTCTCCACTTTCCATTAGAGGAAACTGAGGCACCACGCCATGAAATAACTTGCCTAGATCACTCCGTAACCCAGGTGCCATTAAAAGGCTACCACTCATGAGAGTCACATTCAAACAGCACATGCATTCGCTTGTTGCCTCGGAGTGGCTTTTCTCAGCTCAGTAATGATTGTGAGGCAGAAAGTACATCTAGTATGTGGTAACAATTTTCTCAAAGCCCCGTGTGTTACGGCATGTTGTTCTGATAGGTTCTGAGGGTTGGTTGCTTTGTCCATTCCCTTTTCAAAATATTTTGAAGCTTTTATCACAGGCCAGATAGAGAATTGAGAATCAAGGTTCCCACACATGGCAACACTAGCATACTGGCAATGAATCAAGTCTCTGGAACCAAATGGACCTGGTTTTCGTATCCTAGCTCCACCTACATGCTCCATGTATGTGAGTCTCACCCGAGCAGCCGTCTCTGCTGTCCCAGGCAGATGTCACTGTCCCTTTCTATGCTCCGTCTATGGAGCAGGAGCTGCTCTACGTATTACGGTATTTCACAGCTAATAAGTAGCAGGGCCTGGACTCAGCAATGTCTGTCTGACTCCAAAGCTGTGCTCATAACAACCATGCTGTGCTTTGGCAACATACTGGCTGTGATGGGTAAGGAGGAAGAGGACAAAAGTGCAATTTTTCTAGCGTAGGTAATTAGAACAACACGTTGTTATTGGAAAGGATAAAACTTGAATTATCATCCTGAGTTAATACTCCCTCCCCTCCAGACAGTTATTACCATGTGAGCTTGGCTAGATCACTCAGCTCACTTGAGCCTCTTTCCTACTCTGTCAGTGTAGGCAGTACTATCCAACCTGTAAGAGTGCTCTGAGGATTGAATTAAGTGACATGTTAAAGCAAATAGCTTAGTGCCGAACATTTGGCACTGGATGAATTCTCTCCCCCAAAAGTTGTACAGAGGACCTCCACTTTTCAGAAGGAGAGTCTGCTTTAGACACAGTCCTGATTCTAAACAATTGATAAGTTGGTTCCAAGTTCATCTGTGAAGTCAGATTGGAAGCAGATGTATTGAGTCATCAGTATAATATGAAATGCAGTTAAAACCTTAAGAGAGGTTATTATACAATAAATACTTGAGTACCTACTGCAAGCTAAGCAAATGGTGGTATGGTAATTAAACAGGGAAGTGGGTGGTAAGTTGAGAAAATGATATATGTTGAATATATTATTTTTCAGTTTGGGAAATGAAAGAACAAAGCTGTTTTTGAAATGTAAACAAATGGAGTATAAGAGTCTTGTTTCTCAAAAAGGGATATGGGTCAAAAAATCCAAAAGCGTTACCGATGTGCATTCAGATGACAAGAAGGCCTACGATGTGGGCATAGGAAGATGTCTTCAAAAGAGTCTGAGAAGGAAAAGTGTCCCACCTGTTCCAAAAGGACTTGACAAGCGCGAACAGCATTCATGTGGAGGGTGGATGGAAGTGAGGGTGCAGCCGCCTGACTGCAGTCTGAGCTAGTCCCAACAACTAGAGTGCAGATGTTGAGGAAAAGCATTCTGCAGGAGAACCAGATTTGTGCTTTTGTCTTTGTAAACATTTGTGAATTCCCACCTACCAGCAGATGTCACACATTTACATTAAAATTTCTTTGTGGTGCTACTAGGAATGGTTGTAGAAACTTTAGCCACAGAATAGACCACTGGGTATCTGTGAATCAGGGAAGACTTCTTAAACAGTTAACTGTGTCCCAGCTCCTGAAAGGTTAATATAGCAATATAGTGACCAGCCCTTAATTTAGCCTGGTGGTTGTGAGGAGCAGTGTTGCGGACAGCATCCCAGCACAAGCAGTGGCCCAGAAACAGACATTCTGTGTTGCGAACTGTATGCAGTTCAGAATTGTGGGGGTCGATCTGTTTTCATTTTTGTCTATTTGTATTTACATTTGGCTTTTTGTTTCCTGAATAGAGATAGTTAATGGAGTAGAATTGACATTTAAATAACTACATTCATTACATACATAGAAATGTAGTCAGAGGTTTGTGCAATGCTGGATGTGTCTCCCTTTTCCTCATATAATGCAGTTCTCATTTATCCAGTGCAGTCTGGGAGTGGGAACAGTGCCTATATGAGATTGGGTACTTTATAAATCAGAGGTCGCAAACTAAAATGCCTTCACGAGCTGGCAGGTAAGTGATGTAAAAGGTGAAAGGGAGTGATGGGACCAGGGGTAAATGTACTGATTTTTGTACCCTGCCTGAAATATCTTTACATTTTCATGTCACGTTTTTTAGAACTCTGTGCTAGTCAAACCAAACAACTCTGCAAGCTGAACTTAAACACTTAGTGACGGTTTCAGCTGATGCTCTGAGACCTTTTGCAGTTGATTCCTTAGAGCCATGAGGCATCAGGCCCTGCTACTGCCCAAATGACACTGGAATTTGTGGAGGACCAATGCTTAACAGGGCTGGCTGCAGCTTTGTTCCTATGGGCCAAAGGGTTCCCAACCCACATTTTATCATCGAGCTTACATGATAAATACAGAGACATTGAACGAATAGAACAGTGAACCTCTGTATGCCATCCACCCAAATCTATCAGTTGTTACTACTTACCTATGCACACCCTCCCCCCATCATATAGACATACATGTGTGCTCAAACATTCATTTCTCTTCATCTTAAGTACTTCCACAGGTAATTTCCTAAGAATAAGGACAGTCTCCTATACAGCCGTGGTACTATGATCACCCTTAAGCAAAAGGGGGACACTCACATTTCTACTGGTTGTCCCAAGGATGTCTTTCTGTTTGTTCACAGTATGGTATCACTTATATAAAATATAAAACACACAAAACAACAATGTATTGCTTAGTGATGAATTAAAATAGCATTTTGAGAAGTTACCACTTGGTTATGCAGTGGGAAAGGAAGGAGATATACTAGTAATCAGAAGGGTTACACAGGGGTTTCATACTAAAGCGAGTAGTATATTTCTTAAGGTGAGCGGCATGCAGGTGTTTGTATAGGACTCTTTGTACCCTTTCTTGCTTTAGAATTTTTTTTTAAAGGAGCTCAGGGACATTGAGCTATAATGGTGAAACACCAAGACTTGGGGGAAATATTAATGAAAAAATGTTAACATTAAAATTTCCAGTGATGTCTAAAGAATAAAATACTGTTCCTCCACCTGTGCTCTTCACTGTCTTTTCTTTTTTATGTTTTTATTGACTTCAGAGAGAGGAAGGGAGAGGGAGTTAGAAACATTAATGATGAGAGCAAATCATCAATTGGCTGCCTCCTGCACTCCCCCCCTACTGGAGATCGAGCATGCAACCCAGGCATGTGCCATGTCTGCGAATCGAACCATGACCTCCTGGTTCATAGACCAGCACTCAACCATTGAGCACACCGGCCAGGCTCACTGTCTTTTCAATGAATGTGGTACATATCCTTGCTGTTCTGTAACTTCCATTTCTCGCCCAACTTGTACCTTCCCCTTGGTCTATGAACATACTCAAGTCTCTGTCACTCTTTAAAATAAGTTCCTTTAAACTCCCATTCTCTTGAGACCATTCTAGAATTTCTTTCCTCTACTTTGTCTCAGAGTTCTTGAAGGAGTAGCCTGTACTTACAATTTACTTCAGTCCTTTGTAATCTGACTCTACTCACTTGACTAATAACATAGCTCTTTCCAAGGTCACTGATCTGTTAATATCAAGTACAGGCTTGAATAGGTATCTACATGTTTTATTGTTGATCACTTTCTCCTTAAAGCCCTTTCATTTTTTGTAATATATTTTATTGATTTTTTTACAGAGAGGAAGGGAGAGGGATAGAGAGTTAGAAACATCAATGAGAAAGACATCGATCAGCTGCCTCCTGCATACTCCCTACTGGGGATGTGCCCGCAACCAAGGTACATGCCCTTGACCAGGACCGAACCTGGGACCCTTCAGTCCGCAGGCCGACGCTCTATCCACTGAACCAAACCGGTCAGGGCAGCCCTTTCATTTTTCATTGACCAGTTTTCAGGTTTTATTCCTTCCAGTAGCTTTGTTTCAGATCACTCACATTTTTAGGTTCACGTGTTCCAGTCTGGATGTCTTCAGCTGATTTGAGGCCCCTCATGCTCAACTTGTCCAAAACTGAACTCATTATCTTAGCACATGCCAGTTTCTCCTCCTCATGCCATTGCTCAAAAGTTTGGCATCCCCATTCATCCAATCACCCATGTAGAAACCTTAAAACCATGCTTGACTCCCCTCTTCCTTCTTAAGGTCATGGGTTTACCATGCCCTGCTGATTTTAACTCCAAATGTCTCTGAGCTTTTCTCTCTCGTCTGCACTGCTGCCACCATTGGCCTGGCTGAGGCACTCGCCCTCCTGTCTAGAGCCCCAGCCCTAGAATGCCCTTTAGCTGTCCCCCACTTCCCCCACCCCAGTTCTCAAACCAGAACCCAGTCATGGTCCCCATGTTGCATTTAGTTGTGGTGTCACCATTATCTTTAATCTAGAACAGAGGTTGGCCTGTAGCCTGTTGGTCTCCACTCCCAGTTCTTTGCCTGTTGTCTGACTGCTTTCAAGCTACAGTGACAGAGTATTCATTGGCAGAGTAGTTGCCACAGGAAACACTTGGCTGGCAAAACTTAAAATATTTACTGATTGGACTTTTACAGAAGTTTGCCAAACCCTGGACTAGAAGCTAGAATGCCTGAAACATTTTGTACTTTCTCATGTAAGTGATGTTCGAAATTATACATCTAAGATTCTCGTATTTCCAATGATACCATTTCATACTTTCTGGAAATACTGTAAAACTTCAAGTATTATTTATTTCTTAAGGTCTTTCCTTTCTGGAGAGATTGAAAGTCTTCAAGGCAGAAAGCACATATTTACCTAAATATGCTAAAAATTTAATAAGAAAAATATATGAATTTTCCTGGCTCTAACTTTATCCTGAATAAATCACTTGACTTACCCGCAGTCTTTGTCCTGCCCCACACATGCTCGCTGGGGGTCCTGGGCCGGTGCTGTGTGGTGCACTCTTGCATTCTTTCTCAGGGGTAGTGCGCGCTGCTCCACTATCGAGGTAATTGTGTGCGAGAGCAGGATGCTGGTGACATTTTGGACTTCAGCTGTTTCTCAGTGAAGTACAGTCATCCAAATCTTAGTTGCCTCAGCAGTGCAATGTATAAAATTTTGTATTTTGCATGCACTCAGCAAAACTCCACTGTACCCTTTGTTCCACCTGCTTTTTACTGTTTCTTACTCTTTCCTGTAAGAGTTTTATGGTCATCTTCTACTTAATCATGTTTCTATACATGTGTTCTCCAGATCATTTATAATGATGGGTTTTAGCTTCCTTGTTTTTAAGGAACTAGGTTGTCTTCCAATTCTGAAATAGTCTGACTGGGAAACGTTTTAGTTGTGATTGCTGAGGAGTCTTATTCTATTACAGCTTGTTAGACTAGTATCTCTACACACACACACACACACACACACACCTCTGCGTTTTCTAGTTAAGCTGCAACATTTTCCATAAGCAAAAAGGTCCTGTGATTCACCCTTGGTAAATGCAATTTTGAGAGTCTTTTAATTTAGTGTTTTTGGAAGTATCAAGTTAAGTTCCAAGTTAAAAAATGAAATTTTATTGAATAATTACTGTCGGCATCTCTCCTTATTTTACTTGAATACATAGCAGAAGGAGAATTTAGACCACCCACCATCTCCAAACGAAGTTGGGACCAGATTCTAAGAGAAATTTTCACTAGCAATTCAAGGTCTATGATAGAGTTAGTTTGCAAAATGTGTATTTTGCTGGCTTTTTTTTTTCTTTTTTTTCGCTTTTGATGTATGTTGACATTTTAAAAGCTTTACTTTTTTGGCAAGTAGTCAAGCCTGCCATTTTTAAAATTTCTTTGATTTTATGTATAGAAGTTCTCATTCACTGATAACTTCATGTTTTCCTCTTTTAACACTTAGATTTATTTGGAAAATTGCCTCATTTTAAAAAACCTTTTTTAAGTATTGTACCTACCTTTTCTCCTACGGATTTAAGAAGCTAACCTGTGGCATGCCTCTGGGTCGCTCTCTGCTCAGTTGGAGTGCTCAGATGCTCTGGCAGGGCAGTGCTGTTCAACTCAGGGGGTGCAAGTCGCCTGCCCCCTCCCACTTGGCCACTCTTTTTGAGATTTTTAAAAATTCTCATTTGTTTTATATGAATTTTTAATCACTCCCAATCAAGTTACAGATTCTTGTTAGCGATTTCTTATAATTGGATTAAACTTCAAACATTGTTACAGGTTCCTGTTGAGAAAATTTCCGTACCCATCAAGTTGCCTTCAATATGGCATGCAATAAATTCAATCACATGTTGCTTGAAGGGTTTTTGTAGCTTTATTCCAGGTTGCTTTATAGTTTTTTTGTGACTGCTACAATGACGCTCTTTTTTCCCCATTATATTTTCTTGTTGATTATTCCTGGAATATGGAAAACTATTATTTTTAAAATGTCAATCTTTTTTGTTTCTTTTCTACTATCTTTCCCTCATTTTGGGGTCATATTTCATTGGTTAGTATTTCCAGCACAAGACTGTTTAGTGGTGCTGATGACAAATATTCCATCTTTTTCTGGTTATGGGAATGCATCTGATGTTTCATTGATAAATTCCAGGTCCCTCCCTCTATTTTCAGCTTGGGTGGTTTTGTCTGATATTCCCAATCTTATATTCTTATTCCTGCTGAATGGATGTGGCAACACATATACAAACGCGCGCGCGCGCGCGCACACACACACACACACACACACACACACACACCAAAGAGCAAATAATGGCAACAGAAGTACTTTTGCTATAGCCAATAAAGAGACGATGATGGTGGCTTCATTGCTTTAGATTTGGAGAAAAGTGGATGAATTTGGGGCTTGGTGACGTTTGAATTTGCTGTGCACAGGAAGGAATCAAGGATAAATCTTACCGAGATGAGGAAAATGAGTAAATAAGTGGGATTATTCTTTGGGGAGAAGGTACTTCGAGGGGGGGCGGTTGCCGGTTGCCTGTGCTCTAGTGTTGCTTCGAGGACTCAGTGACAAAGTGCCCATGAAGCACATGGGCCGTAGTGCTGAGTAGTGTTGCTGGTAGTTCAGGTGCTGGCATGCTGATTTCTTTTTATCTAGTATGACGGACTGGCTTTTTGATACCCTTAATTTCCTTTGGGTACTGAAAGATGTCAGCTTAAAAAAATGGTTCTTGCCCAGCCATTGCGGATCAGTGGTTGAGCATCAACCTGGTTCACGGTTCAATCCCCAGTCAGGGCACATGCCTGGGTTGCGGGCTCGATTCCCGGTGGGGGGGCATGAAGGAGGCAGCCGATTAATGATTCTCTCTCATCATTTTTTTCTATCTCCCTCTCTGAAATATATATATATTTTACATATATATATATTTTTTAAATGATTCTTAAATGGAGTAAAAATCAGTCACTTATAGAACTTTGAAATAAATCTATGTTGAATTATGTATACATTTTTGGTGTCTCTGTAGTAGTCCTTTTTTCTGCTACTCTCTCTCATTCCATCACCTTTTGCTGCTTAACAGTTGTGCTTTGAGAGAAAATGATGTTACTAATTGGAACTGATTTTTCTATTAGTAATATCCTAATAGTGAGTTACATTTATTTTCTAGGCCTACAACCCAGTGGTGGGTTCATTAGGTATAGGACATGACTTGAGCATGTGTGTTAAAAGCACTGCAGCCCAGCTGCCGTGGCTCAGTGGTTGAGCATTGACCTATGAACCAGGAGGTCAGGATTCGTTTCGATTCCTGGTCAGGGCACATGCCCAAATTGTGAGCTTGATCCCCAGTGTGGGGCATGCACGAGGCAGCCGATCGATGATTCCCTCTCTCCCTCTCCTTTCCTCTCTCTGAAGTCAATAAAAATATATTTAAAAAATAAATAAATAAACAGTTGTTCCAAGAAAGAAAGACTAGGGAAAGATTTCCTAATATACAGGAGTGGGCCAAAGTAGGTTTTACAGTTGTGAATATGTGACACAGTTTATTCTTGTATTAGTTATTAATTATTGTATTTGTATTGCAACTGTAAATGTACTTTTGTCCATCCCTGCATTTCTAATACATTTCCTTAAGTTTGGCCTGTTCATTTGCCCTTACCCGTCTGCATCTCAGACTCTTTTCCCATGTCGGGTCTCTAAGCCTGGATTGCTTCATACACACTAATGCATTACTACCACCTCATCCTTCCTCACTTGAACTTCTTCTACTTGCTGATAAGTTAGGAATTAATTCATTCAGCAAATATTTATTGAGTAGCTCTTATGTTCCAGATACTGCTCTAGGCTCTTAGGACAACATTGGTGAGCAAAGTGCAGACCTCCCTGCCTGAGTGGAACTGATTGGTGGATGTGATGTAACCATTGCCCTTGTAACCGTACTGCCAAGTTTTGTTTTGTTTTTAAGAAATTAGTTCGTCTTTTTTAAAATTAATCTATTTTTTTTTTAATCCTCACCCAAGGATATTTTTCCATTGATTTTTTTTTTTTTTTTTTTTTAGAGAGAGAGTGGAAGAGAGAGGGAGAGAGAAACATTGATGTGAGAGAAACACATCGATTGGTTGCCTCCTGCACACACGCAGGCCAGGGAGGACAACCAAGGTACGTGCCCTTGATCGGAATCGAACCCAGGATCCTTTGGTCTACAGGCCAACACTCTATCCACTGAGCCAAACCGGCTAGGGCTGTACTGCCAAATAGTAATATCTTGTTGATGTTGAGAAGCCCCATACATGTATCATAGCCACATACATGGCTAATCAATTTTTCAAACACTACATAAACTTTTGTACTTTTATTTTAGATACTAACCACAACGCTTCCGGATCTCATTATGAAAATTCACAGCAGAGACCTGTGTCTTCTTCGAGCAACTCCAGCACAGACTCTAAGGATGCTGTTGTAAACAACTCCCCTGAGAAAGAAGCATGGCCCTTGGTCCTTGGCAGTGATCCCGAGTTGGCTTCAGAATGTATGGATGCTGATTCTGCCTCCAGTACTGAATCAGAAAGAAACATCACTATCATGGCTTCAGGGAGCACAGGTGGTGAGAAAGATGTCCTTCGAAACAGCACTGGACTTGGTTCCCAAAACAAGTTTGTGGTTGGCGGCAGCAGCAATAGTTTGGGTCGTGGAAGTAGTACTGGGCCCTGGGGCTTCTCCCATGGAGCCGTAATAAGCACATGTCAGGTCTCTGTGGATGCTCCTGAAAGCAAGTCAGAAAGTAGCAACAATAGAGTGAATGCTTGGGGCACTGTAAGCTCTTCATCAAATGGAGGGGTAAATCCAAGCACTTTGACTTCAGCTAGCAACCATGGTGCCTGGCCAGTATTAGAGAACAACGGACTTGCCCTAAAAGGGCCTGTAGGGAGTAGTAGTCCTGGCATCAATATTCAGTGCAGTACCATAGGCCAGATGCCTAACAATCAGAGTATTAACTCTAAAGTGGGTGGTTCTTCTACCCATGGTACCTGGGGAAGCCTTCAGGAAACTTGTGAATCCGAAGTAAGTGGTACACAGAAGATTTCATTCAGTGGTCAACCTCAGAATATCACCACTGAAATGACTGGACCAAATAACACTACTAACTTTATGACCTCTAGTTTACCAAACTCCGGTTCAGTACAGAATAATGAGCTGCCCAGTAACTCGGGGGCCTGGCGTGTGAGCACAATGAACCATCCTCAGATACAGGTTCCATCGGTTATGAATGGCACTTCCCTTCCTCACCTTAGCAATGGAGAGTCAAAAAGTGCAGGCTCTTATGGTACTACCTGGGGTGCCTATGGTTCTAACTACTCTGGAGACAAATGTGCAAGCCCCGACGGCCAAGCTGATGGTGACACTGTGAACACAACTCTGATGCAGCCTGGCATGAATGGGCCTGTGGGCACGAACTTTCCAGTCAACTCAAATAAAGGAGGAGGCCTGTGGGAGTCTGGGGCCACAAATTCCCAGAGTGCATCCTGGGGAAGTGGAAATGGTGCAAACTTGGGAGGAAGTCGAAGAGGATGGGGAACTCCTGCACAAAACACTGGCACTAATGTACCCAGCGTGGAGTGGAGCAAACTGCCTGGCAATCAGCATTCCAGTGACAGTGCAAACGGCAATGGTAAGAAGTTTACAAACGGATGGAATTCTACTGAGGAAGAGGATCAGGGTTCTGCCACATCTCAGACAAATGAGCAAAACAGCATGTGGGCCAAAACAGGAGGTACAGTGGACAGTGAAGGTAGTACAGAGAGCACTGGACGCCTCGAAGAAAAAGTAACTGGGGAGACTCAGAGTAGAGACAGAAGAAGAATTGATCAGCACACATTACTCCAAAGCATTGTTAACAGAACTGACTTAGATCCACGTGTCCTATCCAACTCTGGTTGGGGACAGACTCCTATTAAGCAGAATACTGCCTGGGATACTGAGACATCACCTAGAGGGGAAAGAAAGACTGACAATGGGACAGAGGCTTGGGGAAGCTCTGCAACACAGACTTTTAACTCAGGGGCATGTATAGACAAGACTAGCCCTAACAGTAATGATACCTCATCTGTATCGGGGTGGGGAGATCCCAAGCCTGCTCTGAGGTGGGGAGATTCCAAAGGCTCAAACTGCCAGGGGGGGTGGGAAGATGATTCTGCTGCTACAGGAATGGTCAAGAGCAATCAGTGGGGGCATTGCAAAGACGAGAAGCCCATGTGGAATGATTCACAAAAGAACAAACAGGGCTGGGGCGAGGGACAGAAGTCACACCAAGGGTGGTCTGTTTCCGCCAGTGATAACTGGGGAGACACATCAAGGAGTAACCATTGGGGGGAGGCTAATAAGAAATCTAGCTCAGGAGGTAGTGACAGTGACAGGTCTGTTTCTGGTTGGAATGAACTTGGTAAAACTAGTTCTTTTACTTGGGGAAATAATATAAATCCAAATAATTCATCAGGATGGGATGAATCTTCTAAATCTAACTCTTCCCAGGGGTGGGGAGATCCTCCAAAGTCTAGTCAGTCGCTGGGTTGGGGAGATTCGGCAAAACCAGTCAGCTCTCCAGACTGGAACAAGCAACCAGATATTGTTGGGTCTTGGGGAGTCCCTCCGGCTCCAGGCAAACCCTCTGGTACAGGCTGGCTGGGCGGACCTATTCCAGCCCCAGCAAAAGAAGAAGAACCCACAGGCTGGGAGGAACCATCCCCGGAGTCCATACGGCGCAAAATGGACATTGATGACGGAACCTCAGCGTGGGGAGATCCCAACAAATACAACTATAAGAATGTGAACATGTGGAACAAAAATGTCCCGAATGGCAGCAGCCGCTCAGACCAGCAAGCACAGGTGCACCAGCTGCTGCCGTCTGCAAGTGCCATCTCCACCCCAGAGGCAGGCGGCTCCGGTGAGTTGTTACTTTGTGGAGTCGGATGGTCTTACAAACACTTCACAGGACTGTGGGCCTTGTTTCAGCTTACTTTGATAAGATGTGTTTAACAGTATTTGCTGTGCACACAGAGGCCTGCTTTACTCTAACCCAGAAGCTTATAGGGAAGAAAAGTATAGGTAAGGTGTTCACCATCAGGGAGCAGCTCTGCCTTCGGCAGATTGGGTGGAGTCCTGCACACTTTGTTCTGTTAGGAATGCTGCCGAAGGCAGAATTGGAAAGGTGGTGTCGGGTGGGGATGCTGTACACTTATCTCAGTTCTTCTGAGTCAAGCTGCACTTTTTCTTCTATTATTGGAATAAAACATCCTCAGAAATACAGCAAGTGTTAATGACCATGCTCTAAATACTAGGTACTACGTTTGGCCTTAGCAGGGATTGATCTGAGCAGGCATGAAATCCAAGTCCATTAGATGCATTGTGTATGAGTGTGTGTGCCTTTCGAGTATATTCCCACTTTCCCTCATAAGGAACTGATTTCTGTCTGCAAATGATCTTGACAGTGACATTTTCATTAGGTGTCATTGGAATGTATTGTCTTAGTTATTAATTGGATGTGGCAATAGGAGTGTTTTCATGAACAAACCGTTCAGTGCCCAATTTTTATCCTGAATATAATTTATTGAATTAATTTAACTAGTTTAATTCTTAGAAGAAACAGCTGGGTATCCAGCGGGGAAGGCTGTTCTGTTGTTGTTTTAAACATGTTTATGGCTTTGCCTTTCTTTGCTTTGGACAATTTAATAATATTTCAAAATTTTTAAGAAGCATTGTCCAGCACATAGAAACGTAGGGTGCCTTTTTCCCGAATGCTGATGATGAAAGGTTGCATGTATGGTAAACATTCTATACACTCACTGTCACCCAGCATGGTCACCTGCTTTAATTCACTAGGTGTAGTTCAGACAGACTTGACTTTTCAGGAATTAAATTTATCTTCTTTAAAGGAGATGACTTGCCATAAATAAGGTTACTCAAAAGAATCTACTCTATACCCAGAGGGCACTTACTGCAGTTAAAGTACAATGATGGGAAATGACTTGTCTTTACATACTATAGATGCCATTTTTTGCTCATCACAGGATCACTATATAATACATAAATGTAAAGTTCTTCATCTTTTGTTCCCTAAGTATTCCTTATTGCCTCTGATTCCACTGTACCTCCCTACCATGTGCTGATGACTTCTTTTCCCACACTTTCTAAAGGCTGGGGTGAGCCCTGGGGGGAGCCTTCTACTCCAGCCACAACTGTGGATAATGGTACTTCAGCATGGGGTAAACCCATAGACAGTGGTCCCAGCTGGGGGGAACCCATTGCTGTGGCATCCAACACTTCCACGTGGGGCTCCAGCTCTGTTGGTCCACAAGCGTTAAGCAAATCTGGTAAGTTACTGATAACCCCTGGTAGCTCTTTTATAGCAGTGGTGATCTCATTGAATATAGTTGATTGGATCATGTCTGTCATTGTTAAGGTAGCCACGTATCCTCATACTGGATGCCACTCACTATTTGGCTCTTTGAATTTGTAACATGGTTTGCTCTTTATCTTTTTGAATTTTCCTATCTTTTCTCAGTTTCCTTAGAACTGCAACTATTAATGATTTGCATATACTTCACCAAGTCTAAATTATGTTTTACCAAATTAGATTATCTGGAAATAGTCAAGCAGCTGTCAGGCTATCCAGCATGAGAGACGGAATATAATAGTCACAGGGACACATAGACCAACTGTCTGGCACAGGTTCCAGATGATTCCCTGGACATTATACAGAAAATGAGCACATTTCAGGAAGGACCCGGTATTCAGATGAGCATTGTCATTGTCCCATAGATTGTGTATAGGACGCACCGTAGAAATTCCAAAGGCCGAGGGTATAGACAGGATGCTTTCTGCATGTGACCTGCAATACTTTTGGCCACTCGCCCTGAAAGTATATATGAAAATGAACTCTTCTGAGTTTCATCTATCTTCTTTGTCCTGTGTGTTGCCATGCAGATGAAGTGCATGCAAACAACAATGCCGCTATGGTCCCATGTTGAGGAGCCCTCGGATTTGTAAAAGCATGGAAAATGTTTTTTTAGGACTTTCAATAAGAATAAATTCTTGCTTAATGAAACTTTTAACTCAGTATTGCTATGCAAATTTGGGAAGGGAAATAAAAGGGGGCTTTTTTATTCCCACACCCTGCCCTCTTACTGTATGCTCATCCTCCAGAAAAAGTTGTTTTATTAAAGTACGTTTCTCTTTGTATTACAAATCCACAACCAGGACCAAAATCTATGCAAGATGGCTGGTGTGGTGATGATATGCCATTGCCTGGAAATCGCCCCACTGGCTGGGAAGAGGAAGAGGACGTGGAGATTGGAATGTGGAATAGTAATTCATCTCAAGAGCTTAACTCGTCTTTAAATTGGCCACCATATACAAAGAAAATGTCATCGAAGGTAACCATTTCAAGGGCAGTGCCCTTGCAACTTTAAATTCCAAAGGTAGTTTACCCACAGAAAGTTAATGTTCTGCCCATTTATGGCAATCAGTATAGTTCAGGCAGTCCCCACCTTAGGCATAGCGTCCTGTATGGGCAGCCACCTAGGAAAATAAGACCACAGGAACTTCCTTTCTCCCCACTGCTACAGCTTGGGATTTCTCTCCTCCTCCCCTCCCACCAGTGCTGCCTGGGACAACCCTTCACCGTAAGGTGTTGCCTGCAGTGGTGAGGAGGAAGAGAAGGGCAAATCTCCATGTTGACTCTTGCCATCGCACTGCCAGTTCATCTCCCATTCCACCTCCTCACCTGGAGTGTCCCGACTTCCCCTGTACCCAGAGTCCTCCTCCTCCTCCTTATCCACTCATTACCTTTGCCCCTTTCCCATCCCGAAAGGTTCTGTGACAAAAATCCCTAGGAATGAGCCGAGCTCACTTTTGCTTTTATATGTGGGCAGATCTTATTCCCAGACCTGGCTGTACATCAGAATCATGTGGGATTTCTCAAAAGTACAGTTTCCTGTATCCCAGGCCTACTGTACTTTGGAAATTGAGCCACGTTACGTGTCCTAGACAAGCTTCCCAGTGTTTGTGCTGCAGAGCCAGGCTTGAGAAGCACAGGTGTAGAGCTCTGGTTCTTAAGAGGTGGTGTTGGATGCTGGTGTCTGATTCTCCTGGAGACCATTTTTAAAACACGTGCCCACTCCCCCAGGTGATTCTGATACATCCTCCCCACCCTGCTTGAAACTTCCTTTCTGAGAGACCCTAGGAGTCAAGTATTTTGTAGTACAACTACCTGACTGCCAGGGTCCCTCTCTTTTAATCCTGGGATTCTAAGTCTAGGACCTGCCATTTTCATTAAAAACCTTTTTTATTTGGCTGAATTTGCCCATTGCCTCACCATAGAGCTTATGAAGTGCTTTCCCATATTTCACATGAATCATTTGATCCTTTTAACCTTCTGAGATAGAATATTGATGAATTTCAGACTAGAAAAAGTGATGACTTGCCCAAAGTTGCATAGCTAATCAGTGACAGAGCAAGGACTTAAGTTTAGATCTTCCAGCTCCAAACCCCGTGTTCTTCCCACTGGACCATGCTGTTTTGTGACTTTGTCTTTCCTTACAGGGTCTGAGTGGCAAAAAAAGGAGAAGGGAAAGGGTGTGTAGCCTTTTTACTCTTTCTCCTTTGTTTCTACTAGTAAAAATCTTTTAGAAAACAACTGCAAACATTTATTTAGCCTCTGCTGTGTGCCAGGTACTGTGCTTGGTGCTGGGGGTTCAAAATACTAATCTACTAGCTGCACCTTCAAGGAGCTCAGAGCCTAATGCGATCATTAGGAGCTCTCTAAGCAGTGTCAGCTTGACATTGGAACATGCCTGCGGGGGGGCGGGGGGGAGTGTTTTAAGGAAAATAGTAGCTTGACATGAGCAAAATGTAGATTTTTTAATTTTTTTTTTAGGAGATCTGGCTATGTAGTTAGACTAAGGGCAGATTGTAAAGGGTTTTCAGTACCATGCCCAAGAATTTGAACTTTAGTCTGTATAAGTATGGAGTCAATGAAATTGAATAGAAGGTAGCATTGGTTTGACTTTTTAAATTAATTTCTTTAAGGAACTTTAACCAATGATAGGATGAAAGATAAATTGGAAGAGGAAAGACCAGCATTAGGGATCTGAATTGGGAAGCAAGAATGGATGCATAGTGGAAGGGACTGATTTGAGAGACATTGGAATAGGACAGAAGTCCTTGGCAACCAGTTAGTCTTGGGGTGGGAGTAAAAGAGGAAAAGGAATCAAAGACACTTCAGAACCTCACAAAGGGTTAGGTGCTTGCTTCAGAGACCTGCCTTTAGGGGGAAATTAAGCCGTGTTCTGTTCCACAGTCAGAAGGAACAGGTAGTAGCATTGGGGAAGGGAAATTAAGGTAGCAGACTGGGAATGGTCCTGTGAGCTTTACATAAGTGGGAGACATTGGCCCCTGTGGCTTCCAGTCTCCCTGTCTACCACCCTGCTAACCATGGACCATTCATTCTCTCAACTCACTTTCCAAAGTAGATTCTGTGTGACCCATATCCCAACCAGCCTCCGAAAGCCAACACCAACTAGGAGGAACCCCAGGTTTAACTGCTGCTGGGGATGGTGTATTCTTGGCAACACAGATTAAAATTTTGAAATGCTTTACATATGGACACGTATTTTTTCAAGTATAGGGCACGTAGCATAATTAGATTATGGGGTAAGCTGGTTTCTTTGGGCTAACCTGAGAACCTGATGACTGTGTTCACTTTGGTTTGGTCTGAGAACTCTGTAAAGCCAAACTATAATTGACCCTTCAGAACACAGTCCGTTTGAAAACTAGAAACTGAGCAGTTCTCTTTTATTCTGAGGCCCATTTTGTGGGTCATGGAGGCCCGTTGCTTCTGTCTTTTCCTTCTGACTGCTTGCCTTCAGGGAGTTCTCTGTGCATTACAGCTATACCAGAGGACTGGAGCAAAGGAAGTTGAAAATCCAACAAGTTGATTTAAATTTTTAACAACTCTGTTAAGAGTTGATTGGAGGAGAAATTGGCTAAAAATGAGAGTTGAGAATTGTCTTAGTTTATTAATCCATCGCTATACCCAGATAAATAGAAATGGCCATGGCATCTTTCTACTCTTTATTTTACAAAGGGAATGATGAAGGGTGGAAACAAACAAGAAGAAGCATGGATAAATCCATTTGTTAAACAGTTTTCAAATATCAGTTTTTCGGTAAGTGTGTTCTGTTTTCTTAACAAATTCTTTATCTTTGAGTTCTCATGAATAAACTTGAGGTTAGAGTAAAATTGGCCACAGAGCCTTTATTTTCATAGTTTGAGCTAATGAACTGTAGTCACTTATTTAAAAAGGCTTTTTTTATTAGGCAGTGAAAAATGAAGTTTTATGATGCACTTGAATTTCACAAATAATGAAATACCAAGTAAAATTCTTTATTTTTTATTTATTTTCATTGATAAATTAAGGTCTGCTAACATGCTGCTTTTTCTTAACTTCAGAGAGACTCACCAGAAGAAAATGTGCAGAGCAATAAGATGGACCTTCCTGGAGGTGAGGGAAATGGAATGAGTTTGAGTTTATGTTCATTCCGATGGACAGACATGTCTATGGCATGGTCCTGCTGAAAATGCACTGGCCTCGGCCACGAGTGGAAGCTGGGCTCCGAGGGCAGAGTCGATGTGCATATATATATATATATATATATATATATATATACATATACTGTGTGTGTACATAATTTATGTTTTTTAATCCTCATCCGAGGATATATCCATTGATGAGAGAGAGAGAGAGAGAGAGAGAGAGAGAGAGAGAGAGAGAGAGAGAGAGAGAAGGGGGCTGGGGAGAGAGAGAAATTTCTATGAGAGAGAAACATCGATCAGTTGCTTCTGGTATCCACCCCACTGACGGTCAAACACACAACCTTTTGGTGTACAGGATGATGCTCCATCCAACTGAGCCACCCGGGCAAGGTGTGTAGATGTGCCTTTCAGGTGCAAATCACTGTGAAACTAAGGGAGTGATAACATCAGTCTGAAGTATGGAATTAAAAAATTTCAAGCAGGAGAATGACATGATTTGGATTCATGTTTTAGAAAAATAATCTTGGCTGTAGATTGAAGATATCTTAGGCCAGAAAACATTGGCAGCAGAGGACAGACAGAAAGATACTAAACACAGCAAAACCATTAGATATTTGTTGCAATAAAGAGTGGAGAGTTTCCTCCACACAGAGTTCTCTCTCTCTGCCACTTGGCTTGCTGTTGTGTCGGTGAGTGTGGTGGACGGGGAGCTCAAACTAGCTCGAATAAAGACTCTTTGCTTTTGCATCGGAAAAAAAAAAAGAGTGGAGAGTTTCTAAGCTCCAAACCAAGACAGTAGGTGTGAAAAATCTAATTCAGTGGAGATGTGGGATTTAGAATCAACAAAAGTTGAACCAGTTTGCTGTGGAGGGTGAGTGTATGGGTTTGGTAAAAGGTGATCCCCAGTGTTCTTGCCTGGGCAGTTCAGCAATGGTTGCATTAAGTCTGAGTCTAGGCAGGAGAGGGAAATTACATAGTAACTTGAACAGGGAAAGTTTAATATAAATATAAATTAGTATTGTAATAATGGTGGTTTGGCCAATAAGAGGTAAAGAGAAAGAATGTGAGTATTCTACAGAATATATAGAGAGCAGATATAAGGAGAAATCACTAACCTTGGGCCTAAGATAGCCTGCCCCACCCGCCTCACCCCAGGGCTGGGATCAAGACTCTTGGACATGCCCTAGCTGGTTTGGCTCGGTGGATAGAGTGTCGGCCTGCGGACTGAAAGGTTCCAGGTTTGAGTTCAGTCAAGCTCACATGCCCGGGTTGCAGGTTTGATCCCCAGTAGGGGGCATCCAGGAAGCCCCCGATCAATGATTCTCTCGTCATTGATGTTTTTCTCTCGCTCTCCCTTCCTCTCTGAAATATATTTATTTATTTATTTATTTATTTATTTATTTATATATAAAGGACTCTTGGACATGGCCTTAGCTCAGTGCATGGCAGAGAAGTCACTGAGGTGTCACCCCTGTGGGACTATTGGAAACCCACCTTCTAGAGGAATTGTCTCCCTGGAGGCGCTTTGCTATAAACCTGCTTGGGGCTGCTGGCAGGAGCTGCTAGCCAGTGGTGAGCAGGCATGGCCAGAGCCAGAGCCAGAGCCGGGCCAGCCCACTGGCTGTGCTGCAAGGGGGGCGGGGAGGTGGGGGGGAAGGGGAGCCCTGGGACCAGGAAGCAGCCTTTCCTCCGACAGTGTCTCCCTGCACCTCTGCTGAGAGCTTCAGTGTCTCTGGCAAAGGAAATAATGTAGAAACCAACCGCATTTCTAAAATGTGTCTACTCTAGGAATATTTTTGTTTTGTTAAAAGCTTTTCTTTTCCACTTGCCTGGAATGAAGGTAGGAAGTTTTGTGGTGGTGGCAGTAACATGCCTCAAAGGACAGCAGCTGCGAAGAAATCGATGGGTGAGATTGGAGGACAGACAATGTGGAGAATGAGAGCCAGGGAGATGGAGAAAGAGATTTTCAAATCTGTATGACCGTTCCGGTGAAGGAAGGTCTGGGGAAATGTGCTTGGTGTCACCTGTGAGAGGTTATGCTTAAGAGCAGGCAGTTAAAGATGTGGGACTACATGCCGGCGTGAAGTCAAAGTGGACGTTTGTATTTGAGGAGCACATGCATGGGAGTGACTGTCGACACCTTGGGAGCAAAACAGTAAGGGAAGCGCATTTGTAGAGAGAGTACACTCAGTCTCTCTGCTTTGACTGAGTCAGCCTTGGCATATCCCCGCATTGAAGAAGCAAAGGAAGTGGGCCCAACTGTGGAGAGAGGGGCGAAACCAGGGTGGGCATTTGGCGAGGACGTGGAGGCAGACAGCAGTGTCCACGTTTAATGATTTGTTGATGTATGATGGTAGCTGGGGGCTGGCTATTTCAAGCAAAGGTGGTTTTGCAGGATGGGAGTTTCCATGAGAGGAGATCCTATTTGTTGCAAAGAAATCAAAATGAGATTAATGCATGGGTAGAGCAAGACCTGTTTGGCCTCCAGCCTCCCCATCTGCTGGCAGGAGTGAGTAGGAGCTGTGGGCACTAGATTGGAAGGCACAAAGCACATAGAAGATGCCTGGCAGTTTGTCATGCTACTGTTTTCTTATTGTTACTGGAAACTGTTTATTACAAAATTAACCAGACTAACGATGACCAAAGATGTCTTAGCCTTCTGTTTTCAAGTTCACTGGTTCAGTAAAATAACAGTGTTTTTTATTGTTGGCTTGTGAGGAACACAGGGTTTACTAAAGGCAAGTGCATTTGTTTCCCACGTCCGTGTCCAGGCAGAAGACAGGTCAGTTTGGGAAGGGAGGATTTTGCTTTCCACTGCAGATTTATCTGAAACCAAATAGATTAATTGTCTTCCTACTGGATAACGTTATTTCCTGCATTTGTTAGGAATGTTACAAGACAAACGAATGGAGATAGATAAACATAGCCTAAATATTGGTGATTACAATCGAACGGTCGGGAAAGGCCCTGGTTCTCGGCCTCAGATGCCCAAAGAGTCTTCCATGGAGCGCAGCCCTTACTTTGATAAGGTGAGCTGTTTCTTGTTTTACCCCTGGGGCTAATACACCAAGACACTGAATAGCATGATTTTCTCATTCACTGTTTACAACATTTCATGTAATATAAAGTGTTAAGATCCAGTGCCAAATCCTCTTACTGGATTTGTAGTTCATTGTCTTTTCTATGTCTCAGTTTATCACAGGGATTGCATTTGTATTTTCTTCTTAACCCCATAAAATGTGTTTGGTTCTTTTTATGTGCTCTAGAATTAACACTAATCTGATCTCTTCTGTTTTCTGCCTGTTTCCTGTTGATGCTGGAATGTCATGTGACTTCTGTTCCTGCAATGATTTCTCCCTTCCACTTGTTTGCTTGGCTGGTGTTGCGCATCTTTCTGTCTGTCCAATCAGGATGGCATTGTAGCAGATGAATCCCAAAACTTGCAGTTTATGTCCAGTCAGAGCATGAAGCTTCCCCCTTCAAATAGTGCACTACCTAACCAGGCCCTCGGCTCCATAGCAGGGCTGGGTATGCAAAACTTGAATTCTGTTAGACAGGTAAGTCCATGTGTGTATTAGGTTCTCTGTTGAATGATTTGTAGAAGCAATAAGCTCTCTCTTATGTGTAGTTACTGTACTTAAATCAGAAGTACGATGTGGTAATGAGCTGTTGGTCCTGAAGAGCACTGGCTGTTTGTTTTTGTAGAATGGCAATCCCAGTATGTTTGGTGTTGGAAACACAGCAGCACAACCCCGGGGCCTGCAGCAGCCTCCAGCACAACCTCTCAGTTCATCTCAGCCTAATCTCCGTGCTCAAGTGCCTCCTCCATTACTCTCCCCTCAGGTTAATAAATTTCAATGGTATTCCCGTCTACTTACTGGAAAAGAACCTTGAATAATTTTATAATTGAGCTAGAGGCCTGATGCACAAAATTCATGCAAGAATAGGCCTTCCTTCCCCGGGCTGCCGACACCGGCTTCCCTCCAGGACCTGGGCTTCCCTCATGCCTGGGCCCCACCCACCCACCGCAGCCTAGGCCTCCCTCTTTGGGGCAATCATGGAGCCCCCTGATTGATCGCTCTGCCGACCAGTGGCCTGGGCCTCCCTCTACTGGGCGATCATGGGCAATGGCCGAGCCCCCAACACGTGCCTTGGCTGGCCTGGCACCAGTGGGTGTCATAGCGTAGTCCCGGATGGTCGTTTCGCTGTTAAGCTGTTCAGTCGATTTGCATATTATGCTTTTATTATATAGGATTAGGTGAATGGTTGATCATCATACATTTTTTAAATATGTATATTTTACTGATTTGAGAGAGAAACATTAATGAGAGAGAAACATCGGTCAGCTGCCTCCTGCGTGCCCCACACTGGGGATTGAGCTGCAACCTGGGCGTGTGCCCCGACTGGAAATGAAACCTTGACCTGTTCATGGGTTGACACTCAACCACAGAGCCATGTTGGCTGGGCAGTGATAATACTTTTTATTGACATCTTTGAAATGCAGGTAATTCAAAGAATGTAGGGAGGGTGAAGAAAATTAGTCAAAGGTAATTTAAAATTTATCATTATATTTCATAAAACTTCTGAAGGGGGACAATAGCAAAGTACATTTACTGATTTAAAATTCATCTCTCATCTTTTACTTAATTCATGAAAGTATATGCGAATAGTAAATTAGTAAAGCAGAGAAAACAAAAGGTACATAACATGCTCCCCAAAACAATAGTCCATACATTTAATTGCTATGTTGATAATTTAAAATACATTGTACCTGTAGCTAGTTTTCATTGTTTTACCCCATTATTAACTTACCATTGTGACCGTCAGGTTCCAGTTTCATTGCTGAAGTATGCACCAAACAACGGTGGCCTGAATCCGCTCTTTGGCCCTCAACAGGTAGCCATGCTGAACCAGCTCTCCCAACTCAACCAGCTTTCTCAGATCTCCCAGTTACAGGTGCGTGGAGTGCTGACCTGTCCTGCGGTGTGCATTCAGTGTATCCCCTGTGGGCTAGACTGCAGGAGGTGGTGCAGGGGGCATACCAGCAGCCATGATTCTCACGGAGCTTCCAGTGTGTCCGTGAAGGAAATGGTGAGCCCAGTGGGCATGATGCTATGAGAGCAAGCCCAGCTGAGTCGGGGGTGGCACTGGGGGTAGAGTGATGAGGAAGAATTTTTCTGATGAAGTAGAAGTTTAGATTGAACAGATCTGCTGGAGGCCAGAGTCCAGGAAGAGATTGTGTTCGATTAGGCAGGACTTGTTGGCGCTGATCAGATGAAGCCGTGCCTCTGCAGGTCCACCTGCCACGGTCACTGAAGCTTGACCTGTGATGGTATGGCACTGACAGTCTGCACTCTTCCCCACAGCGATTTTTAGCACAGCAGCAAAGGACGCAGAGTCAGAGAAGCGTGCCTTCTGGGAACCGGCAGCAGCAAGACCAGCAGGTAGGTCCGAGTCTTCCCCTCGCTGTGCTGACCCGCCCCTCACATCACTTCCATTGTAACGAGACTCACAGGCCTTCCTGAAAACGTAGTGCAGTCGGTTGTTCACTAAGTCCTCTGTTTGCCCAGAGTTATACCAGCTGGTACAGGGTGACTGTGCACCTTCTGAGGAGAGGGAAGTGGATGAAAAAATGAAGGGGAATATGTGGGTATCTGGAAAGACTTCACAGTTTTTCCCGATTGTTTTTGTCGTTTTAAGGGTCGACCTCTTAGTGTGCAGCAGCAGATGATGCAACAGTCTCGCCAACTTGACCCAAACCTGTTGGTGAAGCAGCAGACACCGCCATCTCAGCAGCAGTCACTCCATCAGCCAGCCATGAAATCTTTCCTTGAAAATGTCCTGCCTCACACTACACCTGAGCTGCAAAAAGGGCCATCTCCAGTAAATGCTTTCAGCAACTTCCCTATAGGTGGGTTTCTCCTTGGCCACACGGTTAGCTGGTGCGTGGAAATCCCCGACCTGGCAGGGCTGTTCCCTTGTGAAGACAACACTGGTCCGTTAGCTGTTCCCTTTTGTGGGTGTAGCCTTCATGCTTCATGCTCTCTCTTCAAGAAAACCACACTGTTTCAAAAACACTACATTCATATTTGAGTGGGTTAGAATAAAGATAATATTTCTCTTAAGACCCTCAGGTATTTAATTGTAGGGAAGGGCCAGAGAGAGAGATACTGAGCAGTGCTGCTTTGGCAAAACAGCTGAGAAACAGTAGCATTGTAGTTTTTAGAAGCTAGAAATTTGACTATTGTCTAGATATTTATACATGATTACTGGGATATCTGTAGGAAATGGGGGTTGCCTTTGTCACATTTCCTGTAGCTTTCCCTTCCCTTTCTCACTATGTCTCCAGACTTGTACTCCCTCTGGAAATGTCAGGCTTGACCTGTTCTCCTGCCTTAGGTCCCTTTTCTCCTTATCCCTTCGATTCTGTTTTGACCCTTGTTTGATCCCATCCTCTTCTTTTTCACTTTCATGTCTCTTCCCTGACAATGGTTTCTTGTAACGCAGCTTCAGTGGTTGCTCACCCTGCTGGTCCAGCTGTGGTGAAGATGGTTTGTTTCCTTGCACCTTCTGGGCTGTGGGCAAGGGTGGGGCCTGCTCCGGCTGCTCCTTCGCTCTCGCTGGGCTAGCGCAGGATTGGCTCTCCCGGTATTGCCGTGGGCTCTCAGCTGGGGCCTACGTAGCACTTTGAGTCCTGGGAACTGTTCACTGTCTCTACATTCCCAGCTGTGGTTTCCTTGTCAGTGACCACTGCATGTGGTGACCAGGCGATCCCAGAAACAACAGTGTATATGGGAGAGTAAAGAATGCCACGGACTCTGAGAGGTGTGGGTCTCAGCACAGGGAAGGGATGCACGGTGTGGTTGCGTGCTGGCCATAGACGTTGGGCCAGTGAGGAAGTCACTGTGCAGTGGAATCTTGTTTCTCAAACATCTCCCATCTCGAACAGTTCGCTTCTCAGCCTGACAGCCCTTTCATGCTGATGCCTGTATGACCATCACACACCTCTCCGGTGACAAAGGAGAGAATGCACGAATATGAGTCAGGTTACCGCTGTTAACATCTCAGGATATTGTGCTGTGAATATTTTTGTTTTGTTGCTTTTGTTAAATTTTCATTTTTTTACTGTACATTTTTTGTTAAATATTAATTTACATTTCATGTCCTTTTTGTTTTTAAAGTGTTTATAGATTAAACAGTACAATAGACATGTACAGTACATAAGAAAGGTTAAAACGGGGGTTATTTGGGGATCTGGAATGGATTAATTCAATTTACCTTATTTCTAATGGGGAAAAATAATTCGGTTTTCCAACAGCCTTCCAGAACAAAGTAAGTTCCAGAAACAAGGTTCCACTGTATATGGATTTCCTGTCTAGGCTGGCTTCACAGCAAGAGATACTTTTTCCTGATTAAAAAAGTCTGCTTAGCCTATGCAAACACCAGGATGGTTCTCTAAATCAGTCGTGAAAAACTGGAGCCTGTTGCCCAGATTTGGCCAGCTGCCTGATTTTGTAAATAAAGATTTATTGGAACATAGCCCTGTTCTTTCATTAACATATTTTCTGTAGCTTTTGTGCTGTAAAAACAGTCTTATAGAAACAGACCTTGTGGCCCAGAGCCTAAGATGTTTACTCTCTGAACCATTAAAGAATTTGCCACACTTGGGTCTAATTGATGGGTCCAGAGAATAACAACTGTAATTTCTCTTTTCAAAAATAGATATGATATTAGAGAATTCCTGTTAAAGTTCTTAAGTCTAGCTGATCTAATATCCTGTGAACTGTCATGAAACCAAAGTATTTAAAACTATTTGTTTTTAAAACTTTAGGATAACCAGCTGGATATGTGTTAAAGATCTGACTTCATTTTTAATAAGTATCTCAGAGGATTCTGATGTTGACTGTCCCCAGATCACATTTTAAGAAACATTGGAGGAATGGGTCCATTTTCTGACCACAGTACCGAAGATAGACATTTCCATCCTTGTTCCATGAGACTAATCCTGAGATGTCATTGTCAGAGTTGGAGTAAATTGCACCTTAGAGTATGTGGGTCTGGCCCTGAGGTACAATTGTTAGAGCACGACAGTTCTTTTGTTTGTTTGTTTTTTTATTTAAATTCTAGAGGCCTGGTGCACAAAATACATGCACAGGTAGGGTCCCTAGGCCTGGCCCACGATCATGGCCAATTGGGGCCTTCCAGCTGCCAGCCAGGGCCTGCCTTCGCTCTGTGCCACCCCCTGGTGGTCCACGCACGTCATGAGCGATCGAACTCCCGGTCAAACTCCCCCTCAGGGACACTTTGCATATTAGCCTTTTATATAGTTAAATATATTTTTATTGATTTCAGAGAGGAAGGGAGCGAGATAAAAATGTCAGTGATGCCCTGACCGGTTTGGCTCAGTGGATAGAGCGTCGGCCTGTGGACTCAAGGGTCCCAGGTTCGATTCCGGTCAAGGGCATGTACCTTGGTTGCGGGCACATCCCCAGTAGGGGGCGTGCAAGAGGCAGCTGATCGATGTTTCTAACCCTCTCCCTTCCTCTCTCTAAAAAAAAAAAAAAAAATGTCAGTGATAAGAATCACTGATTGACCCCTCCTGCACACCCCACACTGGGGATTGACCCCGCAACCCGGGCATGTGCCCTGACAGTCTTCTTTGACTGGTCAGCGAGTTGAAAATTATTCAGTTTGCAAGCAAAAGATAGCAACTGAAAGTGATCATATATAATATTTTATGCATGGTACTCTTGGAAAGTAGCTAAAGAGAGATATCTTATTAGAGATAGTCTTATAAACTTTAATATTTGGCCTCTTTAAATTTTTTTTCTTATTCTGCCAAGGAATCCTATATAATAAAAGGGTAACATGCAAATCGACTGAAGGGTGGAATGACCAGTCACTATGACATGCACTGACCACCAGGGGGCAAACGCTCAATGCAGGAGCTGCCTCCTGGTGGTCAGTGCACTCCCACAGGGGAGCACTGCTCAGCCAGAAGCCAGGCTCACAGCTGGCAAGCGCAGCGACAGTGGCAGGAGCCTCTCCCGCCTCCGCACCAGAGCTAAGGATGTCCGACTGCCGCTTAGGACATCCCCCGTGGGCTTCCAGACTGCTAAAGGGCACAGGCCAGGCTGAGGGACCACCCCTCCCCCTGAGTGTATGAATGTTGTGCACCGGGCCTCTAGTTTAAAAATAATCAAAATTAATGTGGAGAAATAGTTTTCCACAGATAATGCAGTTTTATAGTAGTAACAGTTTTATGGTTTGAAAACGTATTATTGAGTATCAGAATGACTACGTAGGAGTTCTGCGTTGCGCTCTCTGGTAACCTCACTGTGGCTCTTTCTCCCCACACTGTGTCTGCATGACATTGGCCAGGGACAAAGTGTCGGTTCCACCTGCCCGGCCTTTGTAATTATTTGGCTGTGCCACATTTGCAGAATTATCTCTATTAAGGAATTCAGGCAAGATTAAAAACATTACTTAGTTTTTCTAGGAAGTGCAAGTTGTACACGAAGAGGAACATGCTATATTTTATAAATTTTTTAATTGTTATTTTTAAGGCTTGAACTCAAACTTGAATGTAAATATGGATATGAACAGTATTAAAGAGCCACAGTCAAGACTAAGGAAGTGGACTACAGTGGACAGCATTTCTGTGAACACATCTTTGGATCAAAACTCCAGCAAACATGGTAAAAATACATTCTTACCTTAAAAAACAACAACTGTGGAATATTAACTTTTAGGCCTTTATTTTATTTTATTTTTTTAATATATTTTATTGATTTTTTACAGAGAGGAAGGGAGAGGGACAGAGAGTTAGAAACATCAGTGAGAGAGAAACATCAACCAGCTGCCTCTTGCACACCTCTTACTGGGGATGTGCCCGCAACCAAGGTACATGCCCTTGACCGGAATCGAACCTGGAACCTTTCAGTCCGCAGGCGGACGGTCTATCCACTGAGCCAAACCGGTTTGGCTAGGCCTTTATTTTAAATACATATTTTTAAAAGCCAAATTCTCTTAGAACCTTTCCTTGTTTTTAAAAGTGCTTTATTAATAAATCTTAGTTGAAATAAAAAAAGCAAAAATTAACCTTTATAATGTTGTTATACAAAATAGAAATCAGATTATACATTTTTTTTTAATTATTTCCTTTTTGATGGTCTTTTAGTTTTTTGCAATTTATTTTATTGTCCTAATGTTCTACTTGTTAACATTCACACAGTTTAATGTAATGCAGGGTATTAAACACTTCCACCATAATTTGACTTCTAGCATTTTCTTATATATTGACACATTTTCTTTATATATTTTGTTATGTGTAAATCACATAGATTCAGTATTCTTTTCACCAGTTAATTACAGTTTTTAAATATTTTCATCTTATTTAATATCCATTCATCTAGCCACTAGTTAATAGACTACCTTCTGCTTTCCCAGGACTGTTCCTGAGATGTATAGGTACATATGTGCATACACAGTTGAGTATGTAAGCAAGTGAAAAAGTCAGAACCCGCTGGAGAATTGAACAGGAAATGACAGCGATGGGTATGGCTTTAGAGAGACTCATCAGGGGCAGAGTCTGCAAGTTCACCAACTGAATGAGAGAGAGCAGTAAAAAGTGTGTGTGGCACATGAGCCCTGACCGGTGTGTTCAGTGGTTAGAGCGCCGGCCCACGCACCAAGGGGTTGAGGGTTCACTCCCCACCCCTATGGGGGCTTGTGCAGGAGGTGACCAATCAATGTATCTCTTCCCCCTCCCTCCTCTCCCCTCCCTCCCTTCCACTCTGACTGAAAAGCAATGGAAAAAATATCCTCGAGTGAGGATTAACATTCCCCCCCGCCTCCCCTCCCCCCCCCCCCCCAAAAAAAAAAAATAGAAGTAGCTAGAAGAGGAAGCCAGAAAAGAAGGGAAGAGAATTGGTGGAATGACCACATCAGGTCAGGGGCAGGTCATGCCCTGGCGAGTGGCGTGAGGGCCTGGCGAGGTCCTGCTCTGCTGCCCTCAGTGACTGGCACAGGAATTTGGAGGCTGTGACCTGCCTCCAGGGGAACCTGTGTTTCACCAGAAGCTCCAGCGAGAGCAGCTCAAGTCCATGAACCAGAGCTCCTCCCACCCACGGAAACAAGGCTCGTGGCCAGGTCCTGGCCCTCCTTTCTCACCTTGCCCTCCCATTGCAGTAACTTGTACCTCCTCCCATCAAGTGATTGTAGCTGGAAACTTAGAGACGTTCGCTTTGTAGTCCATGTCCATTGAGATAATTTACATGTCTACAACGTTTTCTAAAGTGTATGATTCAGTGGCTTTCAGTGTATTCTCAGTACTGCATGCATCACCACAATCCATTTCTGAACGTTTTCTTGACCACAGAAGAGCCTCAGGTGTCACTCTTCCCGCCTCCACTTGTCCATCTCTCCTAGCCATTAGCAAAAGCTCATCCTTCTGTGCGCGTACACTCGTCTCTACTGCACACTTGCTGTGAGTGGTAGCAGGTACTGTCTGGTCTTTGTGAGTAGCATTTTGGCTTAGCACAGTGCTTGCCAGGCTCACTCGTGTTGCAGCATTCCTAAGTGCTTCATTCCTCCTTCCTTCAGCAGTCGACCACTGTTTGGGTCCGGGAGATATTCTTGAGTTCTTCCTTGCTCTCACCACCATATCCAGTCCACCTGTGACGAGTGCCCGTTCCACTGTCTCCGACGTCAGCCACTTCCCTGCACACCTGCCTTCCGGGGTCCCGAAACATAGCCCCGGTCTCACTTCTCTTACAACGCTTCAAGGCGAGGTCCTCCTTGCTGTGTCCGACCGAGTCCTGCGTGAGCATGCTGCCCCCGGTGCCTTCCAGGACCGCCGTCTAAGCGGTGAGGCCCGGGCCACCTTCGGTTCCAGACGTTTAGAATAGCAGGCTCAGCGTCCCTCCCTTCGAGATCAGGACCCCATCCTCCATGTTGCTCACAAAATGGTCTTTCAGTTCTCAGGCTACTGCTCCGGTCCTCTCCTCGGGTCCGTATAGGCTGCACCTGCACCTAGGATCCCACCCCAACCTTTTGCATGAGGGCTCAGCCCTTCCTCGCCTCATGCTTGTCCTTCCATCGCTGTTCACTTGGTCACCTCTTTGTGCGAATCCACTGTCATTAAGGGCAAGGACTCCATCTCACTCAGCGTTCTGTGTCCAGCAACTGGCCTGTCCTAATGAGAAAAGGCTGTTTGCCACTGTGTAAAGCATTACTCATTTTAAAATGAGCTCAGGGATGGGCGTGGAGGATAGATCTCAACACAGAGGGTCATTCCTAAATGTTAGCTGTGCTTTGATGGGATTTCACACTCGTCGTAACAGATACCTTTACCTGTGCTATGTAGTCCCCAGGGGTGGAGTCTAGGGGAGAAATGTAAGTGTCCTGGTGGAAAAGATCTTCGCTGTCTCCTTACCTATACATCCTTGGGTTCCTGCTCTTTGCCACTCAGGATGTTTTTTTGGGGAGCAGGGGGTGTTGATAGAAATAAATATATTTTTTTAAAATTTAAATTCTTTATTGTTTAAAGTATTACGTAAGTCTTCTTTTTCCCCCATTGACCATTCCCCAGCTGCTTCCAACCCCCAGGACATGCCCTCACCCCCCCTACTGTCTGTGTCCGTGGGTTATGCTTATATGCATGCATACAAGTCCTTTGGTTGATCTCTTCCCCCCTCTTCCCCTGCCTTCCCTCTTAGGTTGGATGTTCTGTTCGATGCTTCTATGACTCTGGCTCTATTTTTGTTCATTATATTCCACAAATGAGTGAGATCATGTGATATTTATCTTTCTCTGACTGGCTTATTTCGCTTAGCATAATGCTTTCCAGGTCCATCCATGCTGTTGCAAATGGTAGGAGTTCCTTCTTTTTTACAGCAGCGTAGTATTCCATTGTGTAGATGTACCACGGTTTTGTAATCCACTCATCTGCTGATGGGCATTAGGCTGTTTCCAAATCCTAGCTATGGTGAATTGTGCAGCTATGAACATAGGGGTGCATATATCCTTTCTGATTGGTGTTTCTGGTTTCTTGGGGTATATTCCTAGAAGTAGGATAACTGAGTCAAATGGGAGTTCCATTTTTAATTTTTTGAGGAAACTCCATACAGTTTTCCACAGTGGCTGCACCAGTCGGCTTTCCCACCAGCAGTGCACGAGGGTTCCTTTTTCTCCACATCCTCTCCAGCACTTGTCATTTGTTGATGATATCAGGACGTTCTTGACTGCAGCTCTTTCTTCCCCCAGTACCTCTCATTCACCCCCAGCAGGAATCCCACAAAGGGTGCACTGTGCTTGTTCTTAGTTTAGGCCGCAGTACAAGTGTCTTCATGACTTGGCAATAATTGTGTACTCTTATCCCGGTCTGTCACTCACGCCCTTCTTGGAATGACATGAACCGGGATGGTATCAGCTCTCAGCCGTGCATCTTCACATACCGCAGAGCACAGGACAGACCTTGGTCATGTATTTTGCTCCCAGCTCATGGTCATATTTCTCCTTTTAGGTGCTATTTCAAGTGGTTTCAGGCTGGAAGAGTCTCCGTTTGTTCCTTATGACTTCATGAACAGCAGTACTTCGCCAGCCAGCCCTCCAGGCTCAGTGGGAGATGGCTGGCCACGTGCCAAATCGCCCAATGGCTCTAGCAGTGTTAACTGGCCACCAGGTAAGACGCCAGCAGCTTCCGTCATGACTGGGCACTGGTTTAGCCCAGTTCCGGCTGTCGGACTGAGGGCTCAGGATACAAATGAGTGCTGAGGGACAGTGACGTCGGGCATCGAATCTGCCCTGTGGCCAGTAGTGCCCTGTGCTCCAGCAGTGAGCGTGGGACTGTCCGCCCCTGGCACCCATGCTCCGTCTCCACCTGTGCCAGGGAACCTGGGCAGCATCGCAGCTGTGCCGCAGAGCGGGCAGAATCGCTCCCGTGGCCTGCACCGCCTGCTCGGCTACTGTGGCCTTGTGCCTGGTAATGGAGCACTGTAGGATGTTACTGTTTGAGGTATACAAACCCAGAGCATTGGGTCCTGTTGTAAAAACCTGCAAGTTATTCATAAATAACAGCCTATGTTCATCTCATTTTGTTACCGAATCAAAATACTTGCGAATTACATAGGTTTTAGGAATAAACATTTTACATTATTTAGTAATAGATTTTAAAATGGTGATTAAGCCTGAACTAATTTAAAGTTTTCATTTCCAGAATTCCGCCCTGGTGAACCATGGAAAGGTTATCCAAACATTGACCCAGAAACTGACCCTTACGTCACTCCTGGCAGTGTCATAAACAATCTTTCAATTAACACTGTGCGGGAAGTTGACCACCTCAGGGACAGGAACAGTGGTATGTAGGCGGGTACACTTCCGTTTCTGGACAGCATGGTGTAAGGGTGGCTCAGAGTAGGTGTGAGGCCTCAGCAGCAACGTCACAGGCACATCTCAGCCCCAGACGCCCAGGAAACCAGGCAGTGGGGGCAGAAGGGTCTCTTGTCCCGTAGGTGACCCCTCAGCACTTGAAGTGAGGAGGATTCATTCTCACTTGATACGGTAAACACACATGTGACGTTAACAGAGGACCAACAACTTGTCGCCTTCCAGTCATTGTATTAGCAGCTGCAGGCTGTTGCCTCCTTTACTCTGTTCTGGCTATTAAGAAATGGGTGTTTTTTATAAAAGGTGTGTTTTTGTTATTTATTTATACACTGGACATTAAAGACTGTCATCTGGAAAAGCAATTTGACTGTCTCTCAAAGAGTGGAAATAATACCAATTTTAAGGATCCCTATAGTCCAGATGCACTTTTTAATGGGTTATCAAATAAAGTCATCCTACTACATACACATGATTATATTTACTGTATTTCGTGGGTGCACCGGAAGGAAGGAGAAGGAAATGAGAGTATTTTCTGTTCTTGTAACATTTATCCTTCATCTGCCTCTTTATTTTTTTTTTAAATATATATATATATATATTTATATATATATATATATATAAATATATATATATATATTTTATTGATTTTTTACAGAGAGGAAGGGCGAGGGATAGAGAGTTAGAAACATCGATGAGAGAGAAACATCGATTAGCTGCCTCCTGCATACCCTCCCACTGGGGATGTGCCTGCAACCAAGGTACATGCCCTTGACTGGAATCGAACCCGGGACCCTTGAGTCCACAGACTGACACTATCCACTGAGCCAAACCAGTCAGGGCCATCTGCCCCTTCAAACAATTTTTAATAAAGATGCCAGTCTGCATTTTACATTAGACGTGTCATAGGCGAGCAGGTGCTTGCCATATCACAGTGGTGAGGAGATGTCCTTTCAGCACAGTTAGGCAGACAGCTCTGCAGAAGTAGGGAGAGCCACTACCTTCCCAGGGGAAGGAGTAGGGACAGCCACACGGCATCCTCGTGTCCTGGTGGCTCATGGGAGACGTGCTCGCAGAGATGGTGGCTTCTGATCTATGGGAGATTCTGAAAGTCGGGGGGAGGAGGGAGGGTTAGTTTTGATATCAAGAGAAACCACTGAAAGTTTTGAGTGGAAGAGTCAACCTTTATTCAAGGTGGTGAGCAGTTGCCTTGGAGTGGGAGACCCAGCAGAAGCTGTTAGAGCGATCAGATAATGGTCAGTCTGGAGCTAAACTAGAGAAAACGGTCATGGGCTAGGCTTCAGAGACTGAGTCTGGGGCACGGTGGAGGAGGAGAAAGGCCTGGCCAGGCCAAGCTGTCCAGTGAGAGAGCTGTCAGCATGCTGTTTGGAGGGCGAGAAAGAAGGTGTAGCCTTGGGTAGTGCCTGTGAGCCTGAGCATGCCTGTCCTTTCTCGAGACGGCTGTGAAGTGGCGGTTGTGCTAGGCGCTTTTGCTTATTCTGAGGCACCATGTCGCTTACTCTGGGAGTTACTAATTGGGCGCTTCCCCCACATAGGGTCATCCTCATCCTTGAACACCACGCTGCCTTCAACTAGTGCCTGGTCATCCATTCGTGCCTCCAACTACAACGTTCCCCTCAGCAGTACAGCACAAAGCACTTCAGGTGGGCGGGGCGGGGCGGGGCGGGGTGTGGGCCCTCCCCCCTCTCTGCTGGGGTCACGCTCTCGGCAAGCTCTCCACTCTGGTGGAGCAGTGCTGTCTGTTGACCGCACACCCGCTTCTGTGAAGCCTCAGCCAGGAAACTAGCTTCCTCTCTCTCTCTCTCTCTCTCTCTCTCTCTCTCTCTCTCTCTCTCTCTCTCTCTCTCATATATTTTTATTGATTTCAGAGAGGATGGAAGAGGGAGAGATAGAAACATCAATGATGAGAGAGAATCATTGATCGGCTGCCTGCGGGGTCTGGGGTTTGGAGGTGAAGGAGCACTTTCTTGGCTTGTTTTCTTGGGCAGTTTGGTTAGATTTAGGGGTTTTTAATAGAGTCTCACTTTGTTTGATTTGGTTTCAGCGGGAGAGTGGATGTTACTATTTAAATTTGATCTTTTCTAAAAGCAATATCTCCCCCCTCCCACTTTTTGTTCCCTTTGAGTAGCCAGAAATAGCGATTCCAAATTGACGTGGTCTCCGGGGTCAGTCACAAACACCTCTCTGGCCCATGAGCTGTGGAAGGTCCCTTTGCCACCTAAAAACATCACTGCTCCATCCCGCCCGCCTCCAGGGCTCACTGGTCAGAAGCCTCCCTTGTCTACGTGGGATAATTCTCCTCTGCGTGTAGGTGGAGGATGGGGAAATTCTGACGCCAGGTATACCCCAGGTAAGATGAGGTGCCAAGCACTGGCCAGCACGCAGGCTGGTGTGACGGGGGCAGTGCCCTCTGTCAAGGGGGCTAGAACTAGAACAGCCTGTGGCTCCTACTGCATGCTCTTCTTGGTCTCCATGTCACCTGGTTCACCTAAAAACACTTGGCAGACAGTGGTGAGTGAGTGGAATGGGGCTCCTTTCTTTGAGAAGTTCCTCACTTGCTCCTCTTAAAATGTGTGCGAACTTCTCACTCCTGACCAGCCTTTAAAGCACACCACATGTGGCACAGAGAGCAGAAGCCGCCACAGCAGGGCCGGGAAAGCCTGGCCTTGATGTAAGGGCTCATAAAATGTATTGCAGGGTTTTTGTTTTTTTAATCTTTTTTTTAATTTTTTTTTTTTTTTTTTTTTGAGAGAGAGAGAGAGAGGAAGGGAAAGGGATAGAAACATTGATCAGCTGCCTCCTGCACAACTCCCACTAGGGATGGAGCCCACAACCCAAGCAGGTGCCCCCGCCAGGAATGAAACTGTGACCTCCTGGTTCATAGGTCAGTGCTCAACCACTGAGTCATGCCAGCCGGGCTAACCAGAGACATTTGAGAGGAACGGGTGCTGCCAGTCAGACAGAGCCAGCAGGCATAAGGCAGACTGTCTCAGGAAAGGGCAGAGGGCTCTCTCCTGCACATGACCAGCACTGCACAGCCCCGGGGTGAACTCCGAGCTGTCTGCTGGTTCTTACCTCATGCCCTGCCCCTGGCCTGTACCAAACTTTGTCATCTCCAGGCTGAAAATGGTAATATCTCAATAATTTCTGATCTTTAGACAGGTGATTGGCTGAAATTAAACTTAGAGCGTTTCCTTTGGGAGAAGTTTTGATTACATGAAAAGAATACTTGAGTCTGTTTTAAGCTACTAAATGCAAATTAATGTAATGGATGTTGTGTGTACGTTTTCTTTCTGGCCACAGCCACCTGGGGGCCAGCTACTATAAGCGGCTGGTGTGTAGTGTGAGAGGATGCCTGAGAGCCTGCTCTAAGGAGGCTTGGTGGAGTCAGGAAGCCAAGCAAAGCAGAGGGAGCAGCATAAGGCTCAGACCTGGGGGCGCACTAGGGCTCCCTATTGGACTTAGAAGGTTTCAAGAGCCGTGTGCAGGGAGAAGTGGGTGGAGCTGCCTCCCGAGCTGTCTGTGAGGCGCCTGGGAGCAGTTGTAGACTGGGCTGACTTGATCACATCTTCAAGGCCTGCTGCTGGAAGAGAGCAGAAAGCAGGTGGCATGCTCCCGTGGTGACCCAGACAAACACGGGCTGTCTGCTCAGAGCTCCAGCCTGGGGGACACTCGTGCCAGTTCCTCAGAGGACACTGGAGAGGCCTTCCCCAAGTGGTAGTCTGTTGAGATAGATTTAGCTTCAAAAATGAAAATACCCCAAAGGGAGGCCGTCTTTGTGCCTCACTAGCCAGGAGCCCCGCGACCCCCACGGATAATGATGGGACTGGGATGTGCTTGTCCTAGGTTATCGCTCCGGCCACAGTCTCAGGAAACTGACTTGTCCTCTTTCTTCCTTGTTCAGGGTCCAGCTGGGGTGAGAGCAGCTCAGGGAGAATAACAAATTGGCTTGTTCTAAAAAACCTTACACCTCAGGTAAGGGCACGGGCACGGGCACTAGTGTGCGGACGCGCGGGGGCCTGCGAGAGGAGGTCCCCAGGCTTCTTATGTGGAGGAGAGGCTGCCGGGCCTGAGTGGGAGGCAGGGCTGGCAGAGGAGGCGGCTTAGGTCCCAGGGCTGCGGGCTGCGGGCTGCGGGCTGGTGCAGCCCTTCTGCCTTGGGAAATGTGCCGATTCCCTGGTCTTAGCCCAAGACGGGCAGTGACGTGGGCGAGGACCAGGGCTGGGCAGTTGACCAGGCCAGCAGAGGAGCTTGGTGCACTTGGAGAGCCCTGGCCTGCCCTGTTCAGTGCGGCCATGTTCTTAGTTTCTGGGCCACCCCCCTTGGAGGCTGATGTTAGATCCCCCCCCCCCCTCCCACAGGGAGCAGGGCCTTAATGGTCCTGCCTCAGGGCAGGGGAGAGAAGACTGGAAGCCACAGCAGGGCAATGTCTAAGGAATTGGGGACCTGGGAAATGTCCCAGGGTCCAGAGGCCACGGAGGTATGGCTCTGGGCCCAGTGGAGGTGGGAGGGGGCGCCGTACCCCACCACAGCAGTGAGTCCCGGGGGAAAGTAGCACCAGGAGTGATACATCTCAGGCGAGAGGGAGGACGAGAGTCCCGTCCCAGGACAGCTTCCCTGGTGTCCTCGCGCCGCGGCACAGCTAACGGGCACTTGCACCGTCTCCTAGATCGACGGCTCGACTCTGCGCACCCTGTGCATGCAGCATGGCCCCCTGATAACATTCCACCTGAACCTCCCGCACGGAAACGCTTTGGTCCGCTACAGCTCGAAGGAAGAGGTAGTGAAGGCACAGAAGTCTCTGCACATGTAAGTTGGGTGGCCCCAGAACATCCCCGGCACTGCGGCCCTGTGGGATGGTTTTGCAGGCACGCGCTCATGCAGGGAGGCGGGAGGGTGTGCTGGGTGCCTGGTGTGTCCTAGACACGCGGGTGCCACCCCCCTTGAGTCCCTGGGAGCCTCCGGTGGCTGGGTCCTCACGTGTCCGTCTCCCCCCCAGGTGTGTGCTGGGGAACACTACTATTCTCGCTGAGTTTGCCAGTGAAGAGGAGATCAGTCGTTTCTTTGCACAAAGTCAGTCTCTGACCCCTTCCCCTGGCTGGCAGTCCCTCGGGTCCAGCCAGAACCGGCTGGGCTCCCTCGACTGTTCCCACCCGTTCTCCAGCCGGACTGATCTCAGTCACTGGAATGGTGCTGGGCTGGCGGGGACTAACTGTGGAGACCTCCATGGCACTTCCCTCTGGGGGACCCCCCACTATTCCACAAGCCTGTGGGGCCCTCCAAGCAGCAGTGACCCCCGAGGAATGAGCAGCCCATCCCCCATCAATGCTTTTCTTTCTGTTGACCACCTCAGTGGGGGTGGAGAATCCATGTGACAGGTAGAGGTAGACTCGTGACCGTGACTGCAACCTCAAGATGCAAAGGAAAGGGGCACTAAGTTGAGCTCGCCGCCTGCAGCCGGGGCGCCTGTGGGAACAGCTCTTCTCTGCACATTTTCCACTTTGTTTTCCCCGAAACATATCAGTTGAATACTTGAATCATGCAGGCCAATACTATAATGTGAAGGTGTCTCTCGTTACACTCCCACTGGCGCCATGCGTGCTGACCGCGTAGTGAGCTCACCTGTGCGAATTCATCATGTTTAGCCTTTGGGTTCTTTTTTTTTTTTTTTCCCCTATTCCCACACCCCCACCCTTATTTTTTTTTTTTCCAAAACCATTGTTTGGGCTGATAACGTATGAGCTTTTACCTTTGCACTGAATGATGTTCTCTCCGTCTAATCGGCAATATGGGGGGGCAGCTGTTCCGTGTGATGTTTACTCAAGGATGTCCTTAAGGTGTGCGCTCTCCACTATGCCTTGACGTCCGCTACCTTACTGTGTGTCGTGGAGTTGGAGATCACGTTATGATGCTGACTTAGGACGATAATGAAAGTGTTGCACCCGTTTCTTCATGTTCTAAAACTAAAGAATTTCGCTCTGCAGTTTGAAAAACTGTGGCCACAGCTGTGACTTGCAGCCCGCCTGCACCGGGGGGCCCTGCACTTTGAATGGGCTTTCCATTTTCTTTTGAAGGCTCTCACGTTGACCTTCTTGTTTACAGATTTTTTTGTTTGTTTTTTGAGAAAAAAAAAATGTTTACTCTTCCATCATTAAAAAAAAAATTTAAAAGACAAAAAAAAAAAGAGGAGGATTTAAAAGATGCTTTCTATCTCTGGGAAAAGGAGCAGCATTTGGCCATGTTCTTGTTTTCTATTCCTGTCCTAAATCAGAGAGCATGGTTCTCAGGAAAACCGGGTCCCCAGTCAAACAAAAACAAAACCTTGTAGTTTCTTATAGGAAAAAAGGAAACCCCCAAGTTTTAGCACTGATACTATGTATTGCTCTGTTAAAGAATTTTCTCTGCCAAAAAAAAACACAAAAAACAAAAAAACGCTTCAAGCTGGAGTTTGACGTTCTGCTTCAGATGCTGTCTTTTTATTAGTGTGATGATGGTTTGCTAATGATCAGTAGGGAATCATTTTTGTAATTCCATCAAGTGGCTCTGTTTCTGCTGTCGTGACTGTGTTATGTCTAATGTTGTACCTTAAAGCCGAAATCAGTAACTATGCATCCTGTAAGCACGGTGTTGGGCTTACAGCGTCGTTCATTGTAGAAAGGAAATTTTAAATGTTGTTGCAAACTAACGAGTTACACCATTTTTACAGTTTCTTTCTCTCCTCCCCCCTTTTTTGCCCACAAATGGTATTATAATGCTTGCTTAGTCAAAGGAGAGACTAAACAAGGGTAAAAATTTTAACACACAGAATTTGCCATCATTTCATTGCCTTGATTCTAACTGTTTGTGTCCTATGATGCAAAAGAAGTCAGTGGCTTTTAACTGTTTACAAATAGAATGTGATTGTAAAATGTACAGTTTGGTTGTGTTTAATTATGAAATTTCTTCAGATATAATAAACCATGACTTTTTGGCTGCTCAACATCAATTGTCTCTTTTTTGTGAATTTATTTGTACGCTCCTTTTTATAATGAAAGTTTTCAAGTTGCTATGTATGAGGGCTCTCATAGAGCAACCGATTAAAAATATAAGCAAATATTGGAACATTTTACCTGAACTTATCCACAGTCTCACCCTGAAATAATGTGAGAACAATGGGCGGCAGTGGCTGGCTCCCGCCCGCCCCCGCGCCTGTGGGACCTGCTGCCCAGCGCTCCTGCGGCTCATCCTCCCTGCCCTCCGTGCCAGCGCAGGCCCAGCAGACACGCGGAGCAAGAGGCTCACTGCCCGGCAGTGTCTGGTGTTAAGCTCAGACCTCTGTTACCGAGCAGGAGCCGCCGGACGGGCCCCTCCCGCTCCAGCGGGCTCCGGCGGCCTGTGCTCGCAGCGCCAGGCTTCACTGCGGCCACTTGCCAGGCGTAAGCCGTGTTCCGTGCATTCGATGTGTATTGACTTCCACACTGGTTTTTCCAAAAACCAAAGGTAGCTTTGAAAAACCACGTCTGGAAATGTTTGGGACGTCACGCTAATTGACCTTTGGGGCTTTGAGTAGTATATAATTGACTTCATAACTGCGTTAATTGTATTGTTCAAGTGTTTGGGAGTTTTTTGCGCTTGTTATGTGGAAATAAAGTGTTTGATTAAAAAAATTAGCAAGTGGTTGCTTTTTGCTTGGTCTTTCAATAATACAGCGCTGCTCCCTAAGACACTGCGCTTCACCCAAGCCCACTTTCATCTCTCCCACCTGCCCCTTCATCCCGCTGGGAGTCCGACATTCCCGGGGTCCTGGTGCGGGTCACTGACCGCCCGCAGGAGCCCAGCTACCCATCCACATCTATGCCAGAGCACGGCCAGCCATTTCCGAAGGTGGCTCCCGTGCTCCCGCCGCCCGAGGTGCTCCTGCTGCTGTGCTGGGGCACGTGCGGGGCTCTGACCCTGCCTCACCCTCCCAGACGTTCCCACTGTGTTCCCATCCCCCAGGTGCCTCCACCCCTTGCTGCTCCCGTTGCCACAAGTGTCTTCCTGTCCCAGCAGGACCTCCAGGTCCTGTGCCAGGTGACAAGGAAGCTCCTGCTCAGATGTGTGGTCACTGGTCAGACGCATGGTAGGTGCTAATAGGGGAAGGAAATAAACTATTGCCTGTTGACACTTGTGGACCAAAGATGTGGGTGAGCCAGGGAAGGTGGAGGTGAAGTTCTTGACAGCAGGACAGATTTCGATCCAGACAGGAGTACAAACTGCGGTTTTATCGAGCAACTGGCTGTAGGTCCGGATTATGCTCCACCATTGGCACGTGCCTGTTACCCTCTTCGCCAAGGTTTAGGTCTTGCCCTGTGGAGCCTTCATTTTCAGATGTGAGCGGCGGGCTCGCTGGATGAGGGCCAGACTGCAACCCAATGGACCTGAGAGCCCCTGAGACCAGGCCCCGGGGACCTCCCAGCAGGCACTGGGGAAGCGGGAGGGGAGGGACAGTCATGGTGCGAGGCTTACACACCAAGTGCGCCCACGGTTCCTGCCTCACAGCTGGGTGCCCCAGCCGGCCCGGACTGGGAACTACCGGAGAGCAGTGTTTCTCAAATTGTGTGGCCCCCAAGGCTTGGGACTGCAGGTGAGCCTTCCGGGGGATCTGGGCCAGAACTTTAAGCTTTGCATTTACAGCTGAGCATGTTGCATTCTGCTCTCTCACATCTGTTTTCATCCAGAACTAATGTTTGAAGTAGCCAGTGAAACTCTCTTCAGAAAGCGGGGGCAGCACAGGGCCAGCTGTGTGGACGCTCACGTCCCGAGGAGCAGAGAACTCCAGTGGCCTCTGCTCGCGCACGGCTCAGATCCACGGCCCTGTCCTGGCCGGCGGACCGCTGGTAAGGAGACCCCTGACCTGCCGGGAGAGAGGACTCAGCTTTGGGCAGCTGTGTCCACAGTCCATCCCCGAGGGGGCCGGCTTCAGGTGATGACAGGACCTAAACAGTCCAGGGCCTGACACCAACTCACAGGCCCCGCGGCAGCATCACTGAACCCCCTGGCTTTTCATTGATTTCACGGTTTTTAAAGTCAACGTAGTTTATTGACGAAGTTGAGGGTGTACAGAAAATCAGTGCTGTTTGCCATGAGCTAAAGGGAACTATATACCAGAACCAGAACCCAAATGCGTTCCATTCCCGGTGGAGGTGTCTGTCAGAGTGGGAGGGGAGGGGGAGGTGCCAGCGTAGGGGGAAGGGGAGATGGTGGGGGAGGAGGAGGTGCCAGCGCAGGGGGGAGCGGAGACGCTGGGGGAGGGGGAGGTGCCAGACACCCGACTGCTGCAGGGAAAAGCCGTCTTTGCTTGTGACTCAGTGTCCCTTCTTGAACTGAAAAGCCTGTCAGGTCCCCCCACTCCTGGGGCCAGGACCCGCACTTTAGAATGGCTCCTCCAGAGACTCAAGGTGCATGCAGGGCTGGGGGTCGCCTCCGAAATGGGTCCTGCTGTGAGGCTCGGCTCAGCATCCCACAGAAGCACCCTCTGGCCTCGGCTCCTGCCTCCACTGCCCCCCACGGCCACCCGAGCAGCTGGGGAGCCAGGTGCCCCCTGAGGAGGAGCAGCGCGGCCTGGAGACCGCAGGCCCAGGTGTCTGCCCCGCAAGCCCGGAGCCAGTGAGGGGGCAGAGGTGGGGGCAGTGCGCCTGCCAGGGTCGCCTGGCGGCTTCAGGGAAGCACCCGGGCTCCTGCCACCACAGAGGCACTGCCGGTGACCCGCATGCCTACAGCTCAGCTCAGAGCCCTGCCGGCTGCCTGAGGCCTTCCCGCAGCCGAGGAGCCGAGCCCCGGACCGGGCGGCTGCCCTTCCTCACTCCTCTGCCGCCGAGCCCCACCTCCCCAAATAGTCTCCCTCCACCAGGGGCACCTGGTCCCGCCCCAGGGGACCATTGGCCGTGCCTGGAGCTGCTCTTGGCTGTTACAAGGGGGGAAGGGGGCTGCTCCTGGAACCTCGCATGCAGAGGCCAGGAAGCAGCCTCAGCTCCGCGGCCCGTTCACAGCCTCCCTCACGCCGAGGGTCCGAGCACACCCTCCGGCAGATCAGGCTGCGCCCTCGGCCTGCAGGTCGCCCCGCCGCCAGCCCCTCTGGGCCCGCAGCTGTCCTCCAGAGACGCCCCCGGCGTCCAGCATCCCCGTCTACGGTTCTAAAAGCCAAGCGGCGCGGAGGCCGGAGGCTGCGGTCAGTGTCTGCAAACCCGCTGAGGTCCTTCCCGGTCTGCCTCCCCGCGGGGGTGGGGGTGGCAGTGGCAGTGGCAGTGGCAGTGGTCCCGTCCCCCCTGGATGTTGTGTGAGACGCAGGGAGAACAGTGAGGGTGGCTTCCTCACTGGGCCACCACCGCGACAGAGGCGTGAGAGACCAGCCCGAGGGGGGGGGGGGCGCCTGGGGGGGAGAGGGGGCCCCCGCTCCACAGAGGCAGCGCCACGGCCAGTGGCCACTGCGGCCAGCGAGCGTGTGCACGGGCCGGGCCCCATGTGGGACACTCACAGGCAGTCACGGGGCCACAGCAGGAGGCTCGGACCAGAGTGCCCAACGCCAAGCAACAAATCCGATCAGTAACAGGCGGTCAGAAGTTCACGGCTGACCCAAAGCCCCAGGGCCTGCGAAGAGAGCCACGCGGTCCAAGCCCCCCTGTGATTCAGACCCGGGGCCCAAGAAAGGGCAGGAGCCCAAGCCAGCAGAGCCCTGGTCCCTGCTGCCACGAGTGCAAATGGCACCACCAGGCCGGAAGCCAGTTAAATAGTTAACTATGCACCGTGCGCCAATCACGTGACAAGCCATTTCCCGCCTAAGTATTCACGGGAAAGGACTTTATTGCAGTCACCCCAACCCGTCAGCAGATTAATGAATAAACAGATTGTGCTATATCCGTAGAATGGAGCTATTGATAAGCATAACAGTATGGATGAATCTCAAAATAATTATGCTGAGCAAAAGATAAAAAGCCAGACAAAAAAGAGTGCATATCACATAATGCCATTTATATAAAACTAGAGGCCCGGTGCATGAAATTCATGTACTGGGGGGGGTGGGTGTGGTCCCTCAGCCTGGCCTGCGCCCTCTCACAGTTTGGGAGCCCTCGGGGGATGTCCAACTGATGGCTTAGGCCCGCTCCCCCATGGGAACACACTGAACAACCAGGGAGCAGCTCCTGCATTGAGCATCTGCCCCCTGGTGGTCAATGTGCGTCATAGCAACCAGTCTTTCCACCATTCAGTCAATTTGCCTTTTATTATATAGGATTCTGGGACATGTGAGTTAATCTGCAGTGAAAGAAAATGAATGGAATCAGTGGTTGTCTAGGGACAGGGGGAGCTCAGAAACTTTGGGAAGTGGTGGGTGTCACCTGCACCAGTGGTTTCCGAGGTCGTGTCAAAACTCATCCAGGGGCATTTTTAATATGCATGGTTTTTTGTGCATCAATCATTCCATATAGACTTTTTTCAAAACAAATAAACAAAAAAACTCCCTTTGCTCAGTCTTGCACTAAAATGTTAAAGTATTCTTGGAAACAGCCCTTGGTTGCATCAGTTCTGTTCAATTGTGATGGGAAGTGGCCTCCAAACTCTGGGTGGGAGTGGAACCCTCATTTGCTGTGGGTTGAGCTAGCCCTGGATGGGTTTGGGGCTGCAAATTCCTTTAGAACCACTGCTAGTCAGTGGAGAAAGCAGCCACCAGGGGGCGCACAGTGACTTCCTTTTTCTGGAAGAAGCTTTGAGAAATCAAGTCATCTAGGAGGGAGTGTAGCAGGCTTTCCCACAGCACTCTAATTAAATCTTAAAAAACAAAATAGAAAATAGCCAAACAAATCAAGTCAAACAAATCAAGCTGGCTGTCGTCCTGTCCACCAAAAGGTTGCTAGTTTGATTCCTGGTCAGGGCACATGTCTGGGTTGGGGGCTCGATCCCAGGTGGGGGTGTGCAGGAGGCAACTGATCGATGCTTTACTCTCTCCCTTCCCCTTCCTCTCTCTCTAAA